GTGCTCTCTATCTACTTCGCCTTCATTTACCTCTTCAATAATTCGTTCCTTCAACCAAGTTTTAAATACTTCCTGATAAACTTTAATTTGATTCGAATCTAATAATTTCCTTCGCGTATTAGTCAGGCGTTTTTCTGCCAACGTTTTATTATTAGACAAGCGAGAGGGGGGTCCAGTACCCAAGGTAATGCAGTTTCATATCTCCCGTCTGAATCCAAATTCAAATTTTCCTCAAAATATTGCATGGTCTCCTCATGAATTTCAGCTTTCGTTTTTAGACTCAACTGGGTCATTTATACCAATAACGTCTAACTTCCACAAGTTTTCTGCTGATCTTTCGTTTAGCAATAAAAGAAACACATGCAAGAGAATCATTTATACCCGAAGATTCCTTCGCTGGAATTTTACCCATTAAAATCCATCCCAAACTTGTTTCCATCGCGACCGGACCACTTTGTAAACATTTAATATTTCCGGTGAATAATTTTCCAGCAATATCAGAACAGAACCTATCAACAATTTAATGTCACTTTCGTTTTCGAGAGCATTACCCTCTACATCTGACACTTGAATATTTAATTTACGAAGTTCTTTCAACCAAGGACCTTTAGGTATTTTCTTAACATCAGAACAGATAACAGATTCACTTAAACAATGCACACTACATACATATTTATTATCAAGGCTACTCAAATTAACTATATATTTAGAATGCAATTTTTCTTTTGTTTCTACACCTCCGAATAATTTATGAACTAATTTCACTTCACCAACACTGTTACATTTCAAAGAATCTGTAATATCTTTCGTTAAATAACTTCTCTCGCAACCCGTATCTATAATCCCTCTGACTATCCTTTCCCTGTTGCCATTTTTTACCCTTACGATTAATGTTTGTAGTAACACATCGGAGCTCGCGGATCTGCTAGCCAAAACATTGACCTCGTTTTTCGCCACAGGCTCTACTTGTTTAGTCTCTTTCAATTGAGAAGGAACTTGTTGACACATTACTGCCAAATGCCTTTTCTGGCAAATTAAACACTTAACCTTGGACTTACAGTTACGAGAAATATGGTTTTTCTTCAAGCATAATAGACATAAACCCTTCTTAAATATTAAATCTTTTTTATCCTGATATGTAAGCGTACTAGCTTTAAAACATTTTTCTGTTAAATGTGGCTTATCACAAAATAAACACGATTCCTCAACTTTCTTAATAGGAGCATTTTCTTTAAATTTGTCTCCTGTATACAAATCATTACAAGTAGGAATATTAGACTCATCACTCATGCAGCTTTTAAACGCGCTAATTTAATTCTCTCTTCAGATATCACTTCATTTTTCAAAAACAGAAGAATAGATTCAAGATCGCTCTTACCTTGTTGTGACGAGCTCTCCCGTTCCCTCTCCCACACGCGTAAGATGTCAGGGGGCAGGCAAGATTCAACTAACGGAAAAATAACACTAGCGTATTTATCTTCAGTCACACCGAGAGATTCCAGAGCACGCAGTTTTGTTTCTAAACTGTCGTACAACGATGATAGCGTAAAGTCCTTTTTGGTTGCATTATTATTTATCAACACAAGATTCAATAAATCCCGAACGTACACTTGTATAAGAATATCTTCACGTCCAAAACGATTCTTTAAATGTTCGATGACTTTCGGATAATTTTCTTTAGTTGTCGGGAAACTCTGCACTATTTCCCGTGCTTTCGATTTGGCAGCAGTAGCCTGGATCAGATATACGAATTTCAAATGATCATCTAGCACTGGATCTTCGTGTATCTTACTAAAGGTATTCCAGAAATTCAACCATTGTCGTGGATCACCTGTAAATTCAATCAAATTTATTTTCGGAAGCTTCAAATTCGTTGCCGTTGTTCTTGAATCAACAGTTCTGGTTTCATTTACCGATGCATGAGTCAGCAAATTTTTCTCTTATTTCCACAGTGATTTGCTTCACTTTCATCCTGGCTGCTATTAATTTCTCCTTGTAAGTCTCACATGACTCAAATTCTTTAGTATATTCTTCTTGCGAGACTTCTTTCGATTTTGATAGGAGATCCAATATTTCTTCATCCAACTGTTGTAGTCGAATTCCTTTATCTTCCAGGATTTCCAGGGACGATAATAGAACATCACTGTTCAATTCTGACTCCTTCAAATGTCCATGTAGGCTATTATATGCTTTCGTGAAGGCTGCACGCAGTGGTATTCTTCTTACTTTCAAGGCTTCCATTTCTGCTGTTAAACCATCAAAAGTGTCCTTTACCTAACTAATGCGTCCTGTCAGACGGACGCCACTTTTTATTGTGGTGATCCACGGTTTGAAAATGGTTTCTGAATCAGAAGAGATTCGTGCACTAACCTAGTGCTTCGCATTAGAGAGTAAAGAACATCTATGATATAAAAATATACTTTTATTTACACAGCGAAAACGCGCAGCAACATTATTAACGAAAGCTCATTCTCCTAATAACATACTTCTTTTTACACTCCGCTTGCGCATGCGCAATGACAATTACCAAAGGAGCTTGGCAGATACTGCCATCTGTTGGATAAACTATTCGCTACAATAAGAACATTTTTATGGCTATGGTGAAAACTCATAGAGAATATACAAAGGACAGTGGACTTGCATAACTCTCTTTACATTCTGCTTTTAGGCTACATTTAGGTCAGCCTATATTTTTATTCTTTTATCTAAATTAATTTATTAGCATCTTAAAGTAATGTTGCATTATTTTTTAACATTAACTATATCAATGAACATGTTTAAAACACTTAAATAAATTTAAAGCATGCTTAATTTTACTTAGCTCAGTAAAAACAAGCGATCCAGGTAAGGTGTCTAATGTCTAAGTAAGCAGAGTTCTTCTACACTATGTCTGTACTAATTTCGAAGAAATATGCAGAAGACGATCATGTAAATCAGTGATCTCCGAAGTAGGATACTCGAAGTGATACTTTGGTATACTTACATCAATGAAGTAAGTTCACGATCACTTGCGAGTATATGATCATTTATGTTATGTTATACTACACGGGGTACAACTTAAGTTTTTTTCCCCTTGGTTGTACGTGATCAAATGGTTACAGTCGATAACATTGTTACAAATAAATCGTGGACGAAAATTTTGAGGAGAAAACAACGCCAAGGCGAAAACGTCGTAGTACAAAAACATCGTGGGAGAAAGCAAAGAGAAAACACCGCTGTTCTAAAAACAACGTGATACAAAATATCATCGTCGAAAATAAAGCGGTTCAAAAACTTCGCAGTTTAAAAATATCGTGGTAAAAAATAAAGGACCTACAAATCATCGCATGATAATAACATCGCAGACATGCGTTTTTCAAGTTTTAAAAGTTGGTGTGGTGGTGTATTTAATTATGGCAAAGCACACTAGGGCTATCTGCCTAAAGGGAGGGATGCCTTTCGTGGAGGACTTTCTAAGGGAAACTGGCTCGTATACACGTTACACATGGGGAAAACCACGAAAACACCCATGCAGCCAGCCCGTTCGCGGGATTCGAACCTCGGACCGAACTACCAGTGTTCAGCGACTTTACCGCTCGGCCGCTGGTGGGCCAGTTTTAAAAGTTGTAAATGGATATTCGCATAATTGTTTGTGAGCGCAAGTTGGAAAGAAGGATAATTTTTACTTTCATATTTTTATTAACTAATAAATTTTTGCTGAAAAATTAAAAAGCAAAAACATTAAACATATAAAATTAATCCAACTTATAGCACTTAATAGCATTTTAAACTTGCATAGTTAACTAACAAAGGTCACTAATAGGTTATTTTTTTATAAAGTTTACTGGTACTTTTGATGAAAAATATAGTCGAGAAAGGATTAGAAAAAGGAAAATAAGTACCTATATGTGGTTACCTCTATCAAAATTGTTTCATTAATCATAAAATTATAAAATTCTGTTAGCTGCTATAAGTAGCATTAATGTTTTACTCATCTTTTTCTGATTGCTTGAAATTCCTTCTTAATTTTTCAGCAAAAATTTATTACTTAATTCAAAAACTTAAATGTAAAAACATTCCTCTTTCCTTTTTTGGTCTCACAAGTCATTATGTGAATATACATTTACAACTTTTAAAGCCTGAAAAATTTATGTTTACGATGTTATCGTCATGCGACGATTTGTACGTGCTTTATTTTTTACTGTGATATTTTGGACAACGATGTTTTAAAACTGCGAAAGTTTTCGAGCCGCTTTATTTTTGACAATGAACTGCGACGTTTTCTTTTTGCTTTCATTTCTCCCACGATGTTTTGTATCACGACGTTTTCACCTTGCGTTGTTTTCTTCGCAACGTTTTCGTCGGCGATGTTTTTGCTGCGATGTTTTTGGCGGATACCCAATCAAATATGTTTGGAAATCGCTGATGTAAATAACCTTTTCAAATCTATGGTTAAAAAAACAGTTCCTCAATATGAAAAATTGCAACATAATAATTTTTATTTGTGAACCGTGTCATTACTAGGATATTTTATTTGACAGTAATATTTTATATATAAGTTTCTGTCCGTACAGTCATCTGTGCTTGAGAAAAACCTGTTTGAGTTTTGAGACTAATGCCGAGCCGTAGTAGTAGCAATTTGGATATTTCTTCGAAGAAGTATATAAAATAAAGCATCTGAAGAGCTTAACTAACGTGTATTAAAAAAAATGCCTTCAGATGTATATCTCGAAACATTCTTTGGACGTTAGTAAAGTATTTTATTAAAACTATTTCTGTATGTAAAAAAAAAAAAAAAAAAAAAAAAAAAAAAAAAAAAAAAATTTAACGTTAATTACTTAAAGCTCATAAAGCTGCTGAATTTCTTTCATACTGCTTATTAATATGTTGTTTATTATTATGGTATCCTAGAAACAGTTTAATCTCCCCTTTTGGCAGTTTGTCTTTTTCTCATTATTTAACTATTATCAGTTTGCTTACTGTTTATTTTTAACATGTCGACTATTATTTTGGTATCCTAGGAGGAACTTGATCTCACTGCTTCCAAAAAAGAAGTCATGTTTAATCTTCCATCTGAAAAAAAGTGGCAGCTTTATCTCAGTAAAAAAATGGTATGTTTATATAAGTATTACGTTTCTGTACTTTAATATTTAAAATATAAATACTAATTTAGAATTATTGCACTTGATGCACAATTATGAATATGTAGTTTATTTTATATGGAATGACTGCTCAATATTTTTACTTAGAAATGTTATGAATGTCAGGACACAAACTCTTAATACATGTTTTATCCTATAAGGAGCAAGATGAACCAACTACGCACTATCCTGATTACTACATCGAAAAGGTGACATCTATGGCTATGGTGAGTTTGCATTTTTTTATTCTACATAAATCTCCAAAATTGTTTAAATTGAGTTTGTTACATTGTTTCGCTTTGATAAATAGCGAAGTCAGACTAGTAGAACGCGAATAAGTTTCATAGTATTGAGCATCGGCGGAATTTTCGGAAAGCGCTTGCTTATACCCCTGAATTAATCTTATTTGACTGTCGCAGAGCTATTTGAATATCGCAGTAACCAAAATAAAACCTTTAGAAACAGGTTATATTTTGAGTTTTAGTATCCAATTAAGGTTTTAATTTTTCCTTTGTATTCTAATATTTTTTCCCTCCTGATTCACATCATTCATTCCTAAAGTATAAAAGTTATTTCGTCATATATAGTTTACTCCGAATTAAGAACTCGGAGAAGCGCCAAAAATGCCGATAAGTTTTCAGTAAATATCTACCTCCTTACTGCAGCTGGGTCCTTAACTTTCGCTGTGTTTTTTAAGGGCGTGATAGCGTGTCCATGAGTCCTTCCATGTATCTGGAGTCGTTATATTCTTCCTTTGTCTCTGGAATTAGAAAATAGTGAAACTGAAGCCATACGATTTATTTACTGTTCTAATAACTGCTCTTTATCTACATTCCAAATGACAGTTGGCCAATATCCCCAGAAACAGAATTGCATGTCAACATGACGACTGCCACACTTACCACTGTGGTAACCAAAGTAATTACTTTTTAGATTTCTGTCAAAGTTATTTTGGTGAAGCTCCCGGTTTCAGATGAGGCACAAGTACTGGTACCTTATTGTTAAAAAAAAGTCGTACTGTTAAGAGCTAGCAATATAGCAGTTCTCAAAGAATTGAATTGAATTTGCTATATCACATCAAATCTGCTACCATTGGCCTAAGAAAGATAACAGCCTTGAACAAAATTACTGAGATAATACATTTGCTCATCTGTGCGTGAAGAGCAAAATATAGCCTGAACAGGATTCTGTTGCCCAAAGTTTAGGTAAACGTATCTTTGTAGATTAAAGCTGGTGAGAGTTAGCAGTTTTTTTTCCGCTTTTAGTTTTAGACCAAAGGCGTATGAATGGGGTGATGCAAATCGCCTTCGCGAGGGTTCCGATTTCAAGTGCTCCTAATATTTTTTAAAAAATAATAAATATAATCCTGTGTCTTAAGATAATGTGTCCCCATAGGTGACTGGTGAGATAGGCTTCTACTTCATCAAACCATACCTATTTCAGAATAAGACCGAATAGCTAACATCGCTAAACTTTCGTATTTCATGTCAGGTCTTATTCTATATCCTATCAGGTGAAGATGACCCACCAGCAACAGAGTAACAAAATCATTGAATAATAGTAATTCGACACGGGTTCACATCCCGAGGAATGGGCTGGCTGTATAAGGTGTTTCGTGGTTTTTGCTTTGTGTAACGTGAACTCATTAAAATAATCCCAAAGATTTTATCAATTTTCAGAAACTTTGGATAATAAGAGACAAATCTTATTTCCCTTTCAGTTTTGTTATGTGAACAGCTGATTGCATTTTTATTCTTATCTCTTTTATGTATAGCTCTCTTTTCTTCTGCATGGCTGTTTCCGTGATTTTCCTAGTAAGATTTACACACGTGTCACTCTTAAGAACACCATTATGAAGATAAAATATAGTACCTCTCAAACCATACTCCATTTAATGCGTTTGTGCTGTACCTTTTGTTTTACTTTGCCAGCAGATTTAGAGCATTTTCTCTGCTGAGCATTTAGATGTTGTTTCTTCCCGTATTAGTTAAATTTTAAAAAAAACTACCAAATTTCGGTTATTTTCATGTCTATGTCTAACCACTTTCGTGGAAACAAATCATCACTTCAGATTCTAGGGCATTTACCAGATTGTTGAAATCTGTTATTAGATTTTTAAGGTCTAGAACAGTGGTCTCAAACTCAAACTGCTTACGTGCCAATTGCACGATTTGAAAATATCTGACGGACCAGCCGTTTCTTTTCTTTTTTAAATAAAAATATTTAAAACAAGTTTAAAATACATAAACGATAATAATAATTCAAATTTAAATTTATACTTATTTTCTATCTGAAATCTGAAGTTTGGTTTTGCAAGATATTTTTGTTGGTTACATTTTGCAATTCAAATATCTTGACAACTAAATATTAAATTTTCAGACTGACATTTTTTAATAATTCTAACATATTTAATTAATCATTAAATAACTTAATATATTCTTTTACTTTAAATTAGCTCATTAATTTTAATTTGAACTAAAAATAAACAGATCATGAAAATTAAAAGAAAATTTTCCGAAGTGGGACAAAACTTGAGAACGAGCAGTGACAACCTAGACTCTTTCTGTTATTTATTACATTTTTCTTCGACGCTTAATTAAGAATACAAATATTTGCGTCTGAATAACTATAAATTTCTTTTATCTTACTACAATATGACACTTAATTGCATTTCAATTCTGAAAAATTATTAATTTCTAACTGTGAAAAAAGGCTGTTTACATATAAATGTATTCCCAAACAAGGCAACTATTCTTAGTGCAAAAATTCGTAATAGAGCTTATTTATCTTTTGACAGAAGTACGAATAAAAATTCAGAGTCTGCAGCTTCAAATCTTTGAATAAGATTTACATCATACTGTAAATTAATTAGCTCCATTTATTAATTATCTGGTGCGCTATTCATGTTTGTTTTAATGGTAAAGAAATAATGTAAACTCGGACTTGAAATCTCTGCTGCACCATATTTGCAACAAATACATAACTGAAATATATTCACAAGGCCCAAAAGATTCTCCGTATGCCTTCAGTTTGAGACCACTGGTCTAAGGCATTTACTACTTCAAAACACTCGAGAGCTATCTTCTTTCGAAAGGTGCTTTCATTCAAGTCTTACTAAGAGATATTGGATCTTATTGACGTAACACAAGAGGAAAAATATAGAATTGTACGCAAACTGATCATTTATTCTTGGGGGTGGGGGAGGAAAAAAAAGGTTCGGTAAATTGCCAACAATCAGCGATTTTAGCCATTCAATCACTAGTGGGCGCAAATAGTGCTCCACGTTTACTTATTCCAAAGCTTTATCCAGTCGCAAGCATAATTTTGTTATCTAGCGTACAGCGCTCAGTCGGACATTTCAGAAACTTGCATACTAATTTTCTTTATTTAAAACTATTATTTTGCGCACTAGTTATCATTATAAACTAGTGCGCAAAACATAAGGCATGAAATTATTGAAAACGGCTTTTTGAGATCAGTACAATGAAAAGCCAACTCAGTAGAAAGGCGATGTATATGCAAATATCAGTACCGTGATATCAACGGATACACGAAACGTGAAAAGTCATTGAGCACAGCGCAAGCAACTTATAAAGAAGAACAGAAGAAGCATTTCCAGGCATAAAATATACGTCTCTGTTGATGGTCGTTGGTCCCAAGAATCACTCTGAAATCCTCTAGATAATACAAAATATAAGACTGAAATTCAAGGATACATGCCGTGTTACCCGTTGGGTGATAATTTAAATATGTAGAAAATCGAGTATGAGTAATCATGACGTAAATACATCTGTACCTGTAAGATTTAATTTAGGAATAGTCCAAGGCACTACTTCCAACTGTGTTTCCGTGATATTGTTAAAAGATGTCAACTTAAAAGAATTAATTAATATTTTTATCTTGGAATTATCATAATAGCTGTAGTTACACTGCTGTGCATTAAAATTGCAACACCAGGAAGGAATGATGGGACGAACGTCAAAATCATATGAAAGAAAGAAGTTGCGATATGCAAATGAGAGTATTTCAGCGCATTTAGATGACGCAGGAAGGAGAAACGACATCTGGAGCACTGCATAAAAGTAAACTGGTGTAGTGAATTTCTCATTCGGAAAGTGCTTTGTGAGGTTGGAGCTTGTTCAGAATATCTATCATGTTATGCCTCGAATAAGAAGAGGAGCTGCTTACCAGCAAGTTTCAAAATTCGATACAGGCAGGAACGTTGCCTATCGAAAGTACAGGTTATCGCCGGTCGCACTGGTCGACATTCAACCATTGCCATGCGAATATGGAATCAATGGATCGCTGAGGGTCATACTGAACGGCATGCAGGATCTCAATGCTCTTCCATGACTAACGCCAGAGAGGACAGACATATTGTGAGGTCAGCCCTGCAAAACCGTACAACCCGATCACGGACCATTAGTCAGTAAATGGGCATGTTTGCAGCACGCCCAGTATCAGCTCGTAAGGTGCGTCGACGTTTGCAGCAGCGTGGACTATGAGTAGGGTGACCATTACCTCGGCTGCCCTTGAGAATGCAGCACAGAGAGAGACGACGACTCCGGTACGTCAAATGACAAAGCTGGGTACAGGAGTGGTACAATGTCGCCTTTTTAAACGAGTCCCGGTTCTACGTACAGTATTCTGTTGGCCGTATACGTGTCTGGAGGCTCCGAGGAGACCGCATATCGCCTGCTTGGAATCGATATCGGCATAGAGGCCCTGCACCTGACTGGCCACTGGCTTCACGACGCTCACATCTCTGTTCGAATCGACGGTAATTTGAACGCAGATGGGGTACATTTCTGACATCTTACGTCCAGTGGTTGTACCCTATCTTCGAGGCCCCCAAACACCATGTAATGCAAGACCACATGTTACGTCCTCGATACGCAGGATATTCGATTGCTGTCCTGGCCTACACGATCTCCAGATCTGTCACCCATTGAAAACACATCTGGTCATGGGTTGCTGAGAGACTGGCCCGCCACCCCTCTACAGGTAATACAGTTAATGAAGTTTGGCACAGACTTGAAGCAGTATGGAATGAGTTGCCCATTTCTTTCATCCAAGCCTAGTTTGACTCCATGCCTGATGGGGTAAGGGCCGTTTTAGCTGCCAGGGAAAGCAGCTGTTTCTACTAATTTCGCATCCCTGTAAACCTCCAAAATGCTTACAAATTTTATCATTTTGTCTTCATTCCATACAGTTTACGTGCAATATCTTTCTTGTATTAGCTTCACTTCATTGTGCTGCAATTTTAACGGCCAGCAGTGTAAATAAATCAGCCTGGTAATGCTGCTTAAGACTAAGCTTTTTTTTTTTTTTTTTGCATGCATTAGCCGTCAGCTAACTTTTGTATTTCAGTTATCAATAAATATCAAAATTTATTCTCAGTTCGTCCAATAATAGCTTGTTTATTGCTCCACTTGCTCGAAATAAGTAGTTAGCTTTGACGATTGCTATGTTATGTATATAGGCTCGAATTAATTTTTAATTTAAAATTATATATAATAAAGTATTTTAAATCTTCCTGATTACCGAGGTGTATGCATAATTAAAGATATTATTTTCTCATTTCAGCTACTTTTTCCGAGGGAAGAAGAAGAAATCATGGCTCGTGCTAAACTTTTAGATAATTTGAAAACTGCATTGCGAACGCAGCCTAACAGGTACATTTCATTTAATAGCAAAATCATTTTCTTTTCCTTTTTTATAGAAAGAATTATAATTTCAAACAATTTCCTCCCTAAAGCGTTTATAGGATGCATGCAATTTTGTTAATATATTTTAAAAAATCGGTGATCTGCATATTTTCTTTCCCGTGTTTTGAGTAAAATTGAAAATGGATGCACATTTCTTCATGTGCAATGCTTCAACGGTTTGGATGTGCAAATAAAATTTTTGAATCATCCGAATGTAACTAAAACGAACCATTTTCTCCTTTTATTTTCGTAGCCTATGTACACTGAAGTGCCCTCCCTCCCCCTCCCCAAAAAAAGGTAAGGGGAAAAAACTGGTCTAGATGAGTTTATGCAATGCAACGCTACCTGTGTATGCCATTAGTAGCGTCCACTAGTGCGTGTATGAAATGATGGATTTGTGAAGGTTTCTAGAATTGTTTTCGCTCTGAGAATAGCAAGTTTTAATGATATTTGTGATTTTTTAATACGGTCCAATTCTTGTAGCTAGCGAGAGGAGTCAACATTTCTGAGGTAAAGACTATGTTTGGATTTTAACATGTGATTGTTTCAAGAGCGTGCTGTGATTGCAAGAATTCCGGCAAAATTTCCTCCGCAAAATTAACGTCAGTTGTGTGGAAGTGAAAAGCTTCTGAATGTGCATGACTAGCATTAGCGCAATAATTTCACGCTATAAAGATCCATTAGCTTCAAGTAGCATCGAAATTCAATGCTAGGGTTTCGGCAATCATCAGCGTGAGAACTGTGGAACGTCCATTGAATTGTATGGGCTTTGGAAGCCGACATCAAACTAGAGTACCCATGATGAATGAATGACGCAAAGTTATGGAGCTGCCGCGATCTAGGAATTTCGGGCATTGGGCATTTGTTGACAAGAAAGGAGTTGTCTGGTCTCCGCAATCTCATTTGCAGTTGATTCGGTTATCTGGAAGATCTTGTGTGTAGAGGAAAAAAAAAAGTGTGAAACCACGGATTCCACGTGTCAGCTAAAGACTAAAGGCTGTGGTTGCTTCTTAACGATATGGCATTTTTTAAATGACATTCAGTAGAACACCTGGAACATCTACAAACGTGTCTGATAGATGAACACTAAATGCGCATCTTTTGTGATGAGTAATATCTGGTCATACCCTTTACTCATTCTTATGGATTTCGCTTCTTCTAGAAGGATAATGCACAATCATACAGGCTTGGAAACTCAAATTATAGTTAGGGCAACACTTAAGTATGGTATCCTAAGTCACCAGATTTCAACTTTATCGATCATATCTAGGATGCTATGCAATGCACTGCGGAATAAAAATTTCTGCATACGCGAATGCAACAAAATTATGTGCAGTTAGACAGAAAGTGTAGCCGATATATTGCCGATATATCGTTGTCTCTTAATCGTGGAGTATATGTTGCGGCAGCGATACTTTTCCGTTCCAGAACCTATTAAGTATTAGGCGGGTTTCCACCCCCCCCGTTTGGTACTTCAGTGTATATTATTAACTGTTTGATAAATAAATGTTTCACATAGTTATTGAACAAATTGACAATTAGTATTTATTATCCAATTAATTATTATTTATTATTATTTTAGTTTTGTTATGAGATTCTTGGAACAAGATGGATTATCTGGAATACTGAATTTCCTTCTAAGTATGGACTATAATACAGCCGAAAGTCCAATCCATACGTCACTTATAGGTTGTGTAAAAGCTCTGATGAATAATTCTGTAAGTAAATAATGTATACTGAAAAATTGTGCACTTTCATAACAATTGTACATTTACAGTAATTATACACTAAGTGCGTTTGCGCATTGAAGAATGATTTTTTATTCTAATTTAAAGAATTATAATACGTAGAATGTGGACTTTTTAATATAAATACAGGGTTAATTTTCAAAGGTATTTCTAATCATTATCTGATTGTAAATACTTATCTATATTTATATATTATTTATATTTTTTACTTATATACCATAAATACAATGCTGTTTGTATAAAACCGAAATAATATTACAAACAGACTATAAAAAGAATAACTTATTTTCGTTTATAGATTTTTCATTTGTAAGATTCAGTAGGCTATGTATGAATAACATGTAGCTGAAACTCAATATCGAGTTCATATCGATTTCAGTTAGGATAAGAGGCCTTGAAAAAATTCCAAACAAAATTTTGCCTTTATTTTGGTACCTAATAAAATAATCCCAAGACATTCTAGATGATATGATATATCTCTGACAATACTTACGGGCACTTTATGGATCTACATTAAGGCATCCCACTTCATTAAGTAAGCCGAAAGGAAGATTTTTCTGATTTCTGAAGAACGTGAACGGTATAACAAAAGCCAATAAATATCTCATTCACCTAAAAGATAAAATGTTCTGGGTACAGGGAAGCAATTCTAGAATTTGTATTTCTGCTGTAAGATGAATTATAACATATTTTAAAACTGAAATAGACACACACACACACACACACACACAAAAAAAAAAAAAAAAAAAAAAAAAAAAAAAACGCTGGTGCAAAGGATTGATTCAAATATGTCACACCATTATACTAGGAGCAGAGCTTCACCCCCATCTTTCGGCTCACCAGCGGCCTGGCGCTGGTGAGCCGAGTCGCTGAACACTGGTAGTTCGGTCCGAGGTTCGAATCCCGTGAACGGGCTGGCTGCATGGGCGTTTTCGGGGTTTTCCCCATGTGTAACGTGTATACGAGCCAGTTTCCCTTAGAAAGTCCTCCACGAAGGCATCCCTTCCCTTAGGCAGATAGCCCTCGAGGCTTTACGATAATCACACACACACTTCACCCCATCTTTCCAACAGCAACGTAATAGCAGTGTCAGCGACAAACGACATTTGATCAGTGACCTATGACGTTTGTACGTGAAGGCTTTTGAAACATTTGCACGCAGGGTCTCCAGATCATTCTCCGAATATTGCAGAAGCGAAAACCATCGGCTGGAGTTCTGGAGTTGTTTCTAACCGAGTTGGCCCCTTAACGCTAATTGACTGCGAAGCTATCAAAGTTTTAATGGAGTTGGCACTTTAAACACGAGATGACTGCGAAGCTATCAAGGGCCTTACTACGGCCGAGTGTAATAACAGCTTTGAGAGAGAGTAACCAAAAAGGCGGACGCGCGCTAATCAGAAACTCTGATTCTCTCTAACTCAGCAAGTAGAACTTCGCGGTTAAATACCACTCCTCCTCATTATGTATTCAAACGTGATTCTAAAACTACGTTCTGGCCGGAAGTAGTAAGTTGAAGTTAAGAATTTGACAGGAAAGAAGTTTAACTAAAAATTTAACTGTTAATAAAATTAACATAATTCTTACACCAGTCTCCACTGCCGTCTGTATGTACGCTAACTTCGAGAACGGTTATTGGGGTCAATGGAACTGTCGCTGGTTACCTGTTTTTTAGCCCACTGTCGTACAAGTGCCTTCTGTTGGTTTATGTATTTAGATACTGCTGGATCTTCTGAGCATAGTATGTGGCGACCAATTTCACTCGCGTCCAGCAGGAAAAGGATCACTACTCGCCGTTCTTATAATCTGATTACCCGTTCGAGCAGAAATTTGTTCCTGAATATAGCTTGCTATTGTTTAAGTTCGTCATTGCTCTCGCAACAGTTCAAATACGCAAGGTTAAATAGTGCTAACATTTTGGCCTGAACTCATAGCGGTCTCCCGGAGCGATAAACTAACATCTCTGAGTTTAAGGATTGTGCTTCTCATTTTATGATAGGTGACGTTAAGCGGCTGAGCACGAAAATCGAGATATTGCGCTAACAAACGCAAGACTTAATCTGACTTCTTAAGTCGCACGGGGAAAAGAAAAGTTTCATTCAATCAGTGTTTTATACCGTTTAAGCTCCCCGACATATGTCGCTGATTGGACCCAGACACTTAAAAAATTGAACCATTTGCATGGCTTAGTTAATCTGTAACCTCCCCATTTTGCATAAACCTTCCTTCTATTTATGCATTGGAATATATAGCCGCAAACGCCAGCGTCGTATCTAGAGAGTGCAGTTTGTCAGAATTTTGCTGTCGAATGGTACTCATTTGAAGCACTTTTTGGTCGAATGGTACTCATTTGAAGCCGAGTTGTGTCCCACTGATTTCTTCCTCTAGGATTAATTCAAAAGGATTAAACGAGGATGAGCTACTTAAGGATAATCTTTATCATCTTCCTTCTATAGCCTAATCTTCTACTTCTTCTAATACAGGATCTCTTATGACTCAACGCATTGTCATCCTGCTATTACGTTTCTACATCTTCAAGTCGACTTTTTTTTCCATTTTGGGAAGTGAAAGGGCATCGTACGTATATTATGTATCATATCATTCCTGCTTTTAGTATTATCAGGAATAATTTGGTAGAATTTTAGGAGTCGTGAGAAATCTCAAAATGTTTTAGCATGTAAATTAATGGTAACTGGTTCTTCGTGTCATGTTATATCGACTTCCAATATACTTCAAAGATATGGTCTACACTTTCATGGAACAGAGGAAACCTTTTTAGCGTAAGAAAATCACATTAAATAAATAAGCTTGTAAGTTATTGTGCCATCTGTTGTTGTGGCGTAGTAGTCTGCATATCAATCCAATAATCTGAAGACTTGAAGTCAAGTTCGGTGGAGGCAAAACAAAAGTTTGAAGAAATCAATGTCTCTGACAGGCTATTATTAAATTAACTAATTATAGCAGTTTGTAGGCTCTTTTTAGTTGTTAATATTATTGTTTAAATGCTAAATTCTTATTAATTGTGCGAAAATGTGATAAAACTTAATTGGGACGAGATAGTTTTTTCTTTACCTTTCTACCCTTTTTTTTTTTTCTTTTTTCTTTTTTCTTTTTTTGTTACTCTCTTTATTTTCTTAAGCGCTTGATTTTTGTGTTGTAATATAATATGAATTTTTTCTTTCAACAACTTTATAATGCTGTTAATTTCTTTTCTAATTACTATTTTTAGAGTGGCCGAGCGCACGTACTTGCTCATCCAACAGCCATAAATACCATTGCCCAGAGCCTTAGTACAGAGAATATTAAAACAAAAACTGCAGTCCTAGAAATTTTAGGAGCTATGTGTTTGGTTCCTGGCGGTCACAAAAAAGTTTTAGAGTCCATGTTACATTTTCAAAAATTTGCTGTCGAAAGAACACGCTTTCAGGTAATTATTTTCATCATGGAAATAAAGATTTCATTAGTAGCTATGTACCCTCCTGTTCATGAAGTCATTTTAAGGCTTATTTTCTTTATTCTTTTAGACTGTTGTAAACGACTTGGACCGTAGCACTGGAATGTATCATGATGAAGTTAGTTTAAAGACTGCTATAATGTCCTTCATTAATGCCATAATTAATTATGGTCCTGGTGAAGATCATTTAGAATTCCGTTTGCATTTGCGATATGAGTTTCTTATGTTAGGCATTCAACCTGTGATGGAAAAGCTCAGAAGCCACGAAAATGCAACTCTTGATCGGTATGTTTTATTTAGATTTATATCTGTCATGTGATAGAAATGTTACGAAATGATTAAGAAAAATTTTAATGGTTCTTATATATGCGTGAATTTTTCTCGAAGAATTGTTTTCGGTACAAAATTCTGCCATTTTGATTATTTTAGCAATTCATAATATTCTAGGCACTTGGATATATTTGAAATGGTACGTAATGAAGATGAAAAAGAAATGTCTCGGAAGTTCGAATGTGTAAGTTTTGATCATATATTAATTTCTTTACTTAATCTGATGTAATATTTTTTATCCCATTACATTGATTTCTTTCCAAATGAAATTATTTTATTGTTTTATGATATTTGTATGTAAAATACACCTCTGTTCAAGAAGCTCGTAAAAATCTCACGTCAAATCTTGAAACATATAATAATTAAATTCAGTTAATACAGGTTATTAGCATACTCTGCGCAGAAAAAATGTATTCTGTTGACATCGTCTGAGACACCGCAGTGTTGTAGTGCAAATGAATTTAAAGCATCTTTCTACCATCGTATTTTGAGCAAACAAATTAGTGTTTCTTTGAATCATAAACAAATACTTGCCATGCCACAGATACATACATTACTTCTGCCACTGTGACCTCGCTATTCTCTGTTGAAGGGTTCTGCAGCGTCAGTATTTTCAGACAGTACTAGCTATAGACAACGATGCATGCGACAGCCAGTTTCTGATAGATAGCGAAAGAGTCATTATACTCTTGCTTCCAGGAATATCAGGAGCGAGGGAGCAAACATGTTTATCCCATTGGATGTTACTTCAAAGATGACTTAATACTAATCTTTACATTTTAAAAGGAAGTATCTTACAATTTAAGCGAACTCTTTTTTAAAAAGGAATATATATCTTTTTATTTGCAACGTATGTTGCAGCTTTAATTTGCTTGGCTCCCTTTTTAATTTACAATTTATTTTAAAATTTATATTATTTTTTAAGTTTGTTTATTTATTGTTTGTTTTCTAAAATTTTGGACCTATGTAATAATAACCTTATATTAATCTACGTTTTTAAAATCCAGATATTGTTTGAAATATGAGTTTCAGTAACCTTTTCAACATTTTTATTAGGATTTCTGTTTGGTGTAAGCTTGTTACGTTAAATAATTCATATTTGCCAACGAGTAAATTTGTTTACGACGGTCACTGCAGAATGTTAGTAATATTTACACGTATAGAAACATATATATGTATTGAAACTTAAGTATTTGTTATTCTTTTAACCTTAATTTATGCCATCCGTCAGCCAATGAGACTGTCCAGTAGACAGATGAAATCCACCAGAAAGATTAGAATAAAAGTAAATTAGAAAGCTAAAGCAAAGGAATCATAATTTAAAATAAGCTGTATTCTAAAACAGCTTATTTTTATTTAATTTTGTCACCCTATTTAGAATAGGGCTTCTCATAAAATAGTGCTTCAAAACAATATTATTACGTAGTGTATTGTCAGAATAAACTACAGAAAAAATTCTTCCGTTAAAAACTGCTGCGTAAATTTGGTAATCAAGGCATACCAGATCCTTATTAAATAATTTATGGAGCAGTTTGTAAAACTTGATATACCATTGTTTGAAACTTTAACAGTTAAAAAAAAATTCCGAGTGCAACAAGAAATAAAATTGAATTAAAGCAGTGAATTATATAAAAGATATTTGATATCCATATTATTACAGTCAGAAATTGCTTTCAGCTTATTTCAAATATTATGTTTTTATTTTACAAAATATCAGGCAAGACAAGGAATTATAATGTGATCAGATTCAGGTCTAAACTTAGTTTTTTTTCCATACTACAAAATTCACTAAGCTTAAAATGGATCTTCATTATCAACTGCGAGTATGTGGTAGTAGGGAAAGAACGATTTTTTATTATGCGTTTATTCTTTTATCCATCACGACCGTTCCTTTGGAGACCAAAGAATAATCGAAATTCCATATACAAAAATGAAATTCCATAAATTTTTAAAGGTAGGTAGACCTTACATATTCCATTAAACAGTCAAATAAATTGTTAGAGGGAAACATTTTACTCATAAACTGAAGGAATTTTATATTTATATATGAGTAATGCAAAGAATAAAGTTAATTTATCCTGCAAATTTTGTTACTTAATTCAGTCAGTTTACATTCATTTAAATAATCGTAGAATCTTTGAATATAAATTCATAAACAGTAACAGCATTTCATTATTTTTTTCCTATACTCTTTTAGTTATTTTTCCCCATTTATTTATAATATGACAATGTGTAATGTGTTTAACATTTCAAAGCAAAACTTAAAATTGAAATAATATTTTATAGGTGCACATTGATACAAAGAGTGCCAGCAGTATGTTGGATGTACTTAAGAAAAAGCTGTCCCACACACCTGCCTATCCTCATTTCCTTTCTTTACTATACCACTGCATACAGCTACCACGTATGTTGCTTTTAGATTCTTTATAGTTTTGTAAGGCAGTTAAGATATTTGTTAACAGTGATATTTTCAAAATTGTATCAGTTCTTTTCTCCGTATTGTACTTTCTGACATGTCTTAAAGAAGAGAAGATTAATGTTTCTTCTTTAAGACATGTCAAAATTATAACTTCTTAAGCAGAGTAGCAATTTGTAGTCATTGCTTCTACTTTATTTTAATTTTATATTCTAGCGTGAAACTAATTTTTCATTTTAAATATTTCAGTAGACTACAGTATATGTCCGCAACACTGGCTTCTTTTCGATCGCATAGTTCAACAAATTATACTACAGGGAGAAAACGGTGAAAATCCTGATTATTCCCCAATTAATATCAATGTGAGAGAAATTGTACAATTGTAAGTCGCAGTTCCTTTCATGCAGTTATTTGTATTTCATTAACACTGTAATACTGATATATGATAAATAGTCATATTGATAATACTGATGTTTATATGAAGTAAAACGAAACTGTAACTTACTGATATATTACTATCGCTTTCAGATTAGCAACAGAAGATGAAGTGAAATTAGCGAAAAGCAGAGCTCAAGCTCTTGAACAAGAAAATGTTGAGCTAACAAATCAGCTTTCTAAAAAAGAACAAGAACTTGAGCAGCAAATCCAAGGAAAAGTAAGAGTTGTGTCTTTACTACTTCAAAGCATTTTATTACTAAAAACTTTCGAATTTGAGGAAACCTCTCGGAAATTGCTACGAATAAACTTAAGTTTTCATTTATAATGGGTTCTTTTCCTCGGATTCTCTGATGCAATATTATGCGAAATTCTGTGTCTATAAAGAAGGTGACAAAAAGTTCTTGCGTAATTTGACGAAAGTGTGAAAGTTAAAGCATTAATACATTATTATATCACAACAGTAAACATTCATTTTTCCATATTTCATTATCAAACATGATGTATTTTAAAGAATAAATTTAAATAAGGAGTGAATCTAAGAGTGAATTTTATCAATAACGCTTTTTGAAGTAAAATTGAAAGGCACTGCAAAAATTGAATATAAAACATCTTTCGTTCCTTTGTCTATATGGATATCAAGTTTCTGTCAAGATTGTAGCTTTTAATGCCTGAAATAGGCCTAGAACTCTCAGCTGTCTTACATGCCATCAAATAAAATGGATCCGTATTTTCTAGTCACTGATTATTCCTAATGAAGCGAAGATAAGAATAACAGCCTACTCAATGTAATAGCAGTTGATTTCTGTGCCATCAAATAAATATGCAAGATGATACTTGAAAATCCTTCAAGCTTCAAAGAAGAATAAAACCTTCCTGACTTCTTAAACCATTTTTTTTTTATTTATGGGGTTTTCTGAAAGTCCTTCCCGCATTTTATTTAACTATAAATTTGTAACAAACAGAAATACTTCAGTGAAATAAAATTTGAACTGAACAGCAGTCACCAGATTTTTACCTGACAACACCGCACGCTGAAAGAACAAGATGACTACGAAAGATGAAATGAATCTAAAATTCTGCATTCTGGAGCGTCGGAAGTTTAGTAAAATATGCCAAAAAATTTCGTTAATGTGTAAAACCTCGAAAAGTAATCTTCTTGATGTATGAAACATCAAGAAGTAGCATTAAAAGTTTCCTGAGATGGAAAGTGTCGCGAATATACCACGAAGTGGCCAGTCGAGGGACAATCAAGTAAAGGACAAAGAGATGATCAATTAAGGACCGCGTTTTGCGAAGAACATTCTGTGAAAATTCTTGGAGTTGCATGTGACGCAATCCACATTATTTAGGATCATCCGACATTGATGTCAATAAGAGTTGTATAAGCTGAAGATTGTGCACTATTCGCTTGTTTTCAGTCAGCCATTTCGAGATAAAATTGCAATAGTTTTGTCTCTAGAAACTTTGCAAGCCAGTTCTTGATGATTTTTACGTACGGGAATTTTTTTAGACTCATCGGTATTGAATATTTGATGCATTAGCATACGATCCCAACTTTGCATATAGCAATCAGCACGTACTCCTGAATCCATGTGATCTTGAAATTGCGTGATCACTTGGCTGTCAGGTGATCCTTTAAGCATGCGGTGTTGCTAGTAAAAACTACAACTAATGGGCAGTATAAGTTGTATTTCATAAAATATCTCTTAATTGTTAATAATCGAACTTATTCTGGTTTAAATAGGAGATATTTTGAAAAATGCCGTACCTTATGCCGAAACCTCTACTTTTCCTGTATTATTGTTTGATTATTTATGGATAATAATATCATTTTATCTGCGAACCATGCCAGTTAAGTAAAATATACGAAAAGCTAGAAAGTGGTACAATCAAGTGCTATTATTTATACTTTCAAAAATAAATTTCAGGTATAAATAAAAATATACTTGCATTCATTATTAAATTTCATTCACCTGCATTTCTGATGAAAGCATCATTCGTCTTCCCAGACAGCCAAACTTTCCTAGTTGATAATCCATTAATGTGATTAGTAAACTGCACATAAGGCTGGCATTTCCGCATGTTAACTTATGGGCTAGATATTTTTCTGTTTTAAATACTATTAAAAATTGATCTTACAAAGATATTCAGTTATTTAAATTAATACTTATTTAAGAAATTAAAATTGAATAAACAATCAAATTACAAAAACAATAGCTAATAATAAATAAATTAAATATTTGTATCCCTTTAAACGACTTCAAAAGAAAAATATTTTCTATCGTGTATGGGCGGAATTATACTCGATTTTTGCAAAGGTATATTCCTCTTTCTACAAACTGACTTTTACGTAAGCTTTTTAAATGCAAGAGAGTATCGAATTTGTTGGAAGTGTAAAGGAACCTAGATCACATAAAAGTCGTTAAACATGGAAGTTACGAGTTAGAGTATGAATTGAACACGTTGTTGTTTAAATTCTTCATCGCATGCTGAAGAAAAATTGCAAAAATATGTGGCGAACTGTTTCAAAAAGAGATTTAAAAAAATGTCAGAATAAAAAAGATTTAAAAAGATACAGAACTAGCAAGACGGCATAATAGTTTTGTTGAAACATTGATTAGCAGAATATAGAACTACTACGAATCGTCCTAACCTGATTATCACATAAGGCATGATTGCCCGCTATTCAGATTCGACCCAGAGAGTCTGGTTTTTAATGAAATCTGGATTCTAGTTTTATGAATAGAATCTCCGAGTTGAATAATCATTTCTTCGTACATGAATTATGTTATGGTTTAATAAGTCACCTTTCCGTTTGTAATGAGAGAAATGGAAGTTCTGCAGTATTTTTTATTGGACTGGGAATTAAATTTGTTTCATTTGTTTACCCCTTATGATACAGAGTTGGATTAACCATAAAGCAAAATAACCGCGTGCTTAAGGCATCAATGAAAAAAGGCACCACACACACACGCCATAATGCTTAAAACTGAAAGAGAAGAAACTCCATAAAACGATGCTTAGTAACTCGGGTGTAGGCACCACAAACGTTTCCCAATTCGATTTTACCAAGGATTGTCTGGTGCAACTAAACTCAGACCGAGAGAAAAGAAATAGGAGAGGGACACAGGCGTTATATTTTAAATGCATGTGGGAGCATCAGAATTTTTTAAGCACTTAGGCCTCTTACCCCGGCATCGCTGTGGCAGTTGCTGTTGGAGTTGCTTGGCAAGCATGACAGTTAATGTCAATGATTTAAATTCCAGATCTGCATACAATATATGACGGCATCGACGGCTAAAGTCAACCGTAACGTTAACTATCTGTTAACCGTTGCATATTATTGTTACTATATAGAAATACTGAGCAAATGCAATCAAAGATAAACTCATTTTTTCCTCATAGTTATAAAAATATGATTAAATATAATAATGTAATAATAATTTCATTTACAAATATGTTTATATAAGTTAATAAAGTAAACCCCATTAACACGAATTCACTTAAGACGAGCACTTGATTAACATGAAAAAAATTTCGGTCCCAGTAACAATGTATGTGAACTCAGAGGACATTTGATCAGTTACACGAATTTCGGTTTGTACGAATTACGAACTGTTTTTAAGTCTGTTGCGTCATTAGATTTTTTAATTTAACACGAACTTTCAAATTCTTTCATATTTCTTTCCTGTTGTTTCTCTGCTAGGGCTTGCGTTCAGAAATGTTCTATCCCGTTTAATTGAAAACCTCAAACAATACATTGTATTCTTTAAAACATTGATCAGCAATCGCAAATCATCGCGCCAACAATGAGCTTCAGTCAATAAACGCAATTCTCTGTTTAAATATGTTTTTTTATTCTTTAAAAATTAGCTAGTACGACTAACGTTAAATCTTGACCAATTCTTGAATTGAGCAGGTAAAATTACTTACATGTCTTCTTCCTCCGGTGGACACCGGAGCTAATCAATATCTTCTCTTCTTCCTAAAACTCAGTGGAACACAGTATACTAAATAATAATTCCAGCTTAAATTTAAATGAATTGAATTTACAATGAAATAGTTACATAGATTTATTGGACTGTAGAATTTTCAGGGGGCATTAATATGTCTTTATTCTCCGAAAGTTCTAGCGGCAGACCTGTAGATAGCAATCTGGTAGCTTTCAGGATGCAACAACTAAAGTTAAATTGCAAACAGTATAAAAGTAATTCATAGCCAAGAGGAAGAAGACAGGCATAGATCTGCAAACAAAACTAAAAATCCTAGAGAAACTTCTTAATGTTGTTTCTTCCGGTTCCGGGATCAAATCTAAGCGACTTTGCAGGGCTAAGTACGAAGATGTCAAAACTTACTTCTAGAATGATTCAATGATGTGCCCGCTTACAATGTACCTTTTAGGACCTATAATTCAGTCGAAAGCAAACGGCATTGCAAAAAATTTAGACAGTTAAGATTTCAGTTATTCCTCTGGTTGGTTATACAGTTTCCAAAAGAGACACTCAATTTCATCATCACTGGTTTTTGGTGAAGCAAATGAAGCTGGTGAAGAAGGCGCAGACAACTAGTTGCATGAATTTGACCGAGTGAGAGAAAAGTATGCCTCTTGTGATGTCCAAAATATGGACAAAACTTGACTTTTTTTACAATCTTTTGCCAAGTCTTAACCTTGGAATAAAAAGTGACAAGTGTCATGAATGGCGGAGCTAATAAACAACGCTTAACTCTTTTCCTTGTGTTTAATACAGGCGATTGTGATAAACACTGTCCTTGGCCGGTAGGTAAGTACAAGAAACTACGCTATTTTAAAATCATAAGTAGTACTTACCTTGCATCTACAGTCACAATTAGAAAGCTTGTATCGATAGCTTATCATTTGGTTTCTTCGATTTGATATTCGAATGGTAGCTTAGAATAGGCATGTTCTTAGGACACTCGACATGATCTGAACTTAACCAATGTAAAGTTTCACGCCCCCCATCGCCAAAATGTAACAAGTCGTCTGCAGCCTTTGGATCAAGGCATTATTGCAGTTATGAAGCTGTCTTATCGCAAACGACTTATGACAGCTGCTGTCATTTTCGTCCCTATGATATAGAGGTGGTGTTGTGGTGTATTTAATTATGGCAAAGCACAATAGGGCTATCTAGCCTAAGGGAAGGGATGCCTTTCGTGGAGGACTTTCTAAGGGAAACTGGCTCGTATACACGTTGCACATGGGGAAAACCACGAAAACGCCCATGCAGCCAGCCCGTTCGCGGGATTCGAACCTCGGACCGAACTACCAGTGTTTAGCGTCTTTCCAGCCCGGCCGTTGGTGGGCTCTATGATATAGAGGAATTTTTCATCAAAAAATTATCTGCGAGTGCATTTTTTCAAGTTAAGTGCAGTAATTAATGTAGTGCTGTGATGTTTTCTATGATGGCATACATAATACATTGTGGTAAATATATACTGTAAATGGTTAATGTGTAGAAAAAATTATTCTAAAAATAAAATATGAATTCTCAGTTTACATGAATTTTTTTAACACAAACTCTTGATTTTTCGGTCTTTTGAGATAAGTGTTAGCGAGAGTTTACGGTAATACAAATATATTAATAATTTAATTATAATAATTAACTCTTTCATCTTAAAAATTAACCAATTCTGAGAAATATATAATCCTCTTTGCTCTTTTTTATTATTAGTTCTTTAGTAAACTTTCTTTTTTTTTTTACTATTCTTTTTTTTAAATATTAGTTTAAATATTTCTGCGGCGACACTCACTGTTAAGTCACGAATGTCAGCGATTGTTCTTAGACATTAATTATTAATTGTTAGACTACAGTATGATTTTAAAAATATTTTTTAAATTTGCCTACACATTTGGTGGTCTTTTTCCAAATTCGGTATGTTTAATTTATAGCATTTCTCTTGAATGTTGAAGCTAGTCGAGTAGCCGATGTAGCCCCCACCCGGGCTGCTTTCATATGGACAATCTGATTTTTCAAACAAATTGCTGGTTGACAATTTCATTATATGACCGACTGGATTTTCCAGGCTTTCTTTTGAAATTATTAAATTTTCGAATTAACTATTGAGTTAAGTTTGACGCAAAACAGTAAATTAAATTTTTTTTTCATAAGGAATGCACTGTTGCCTATTGTGTATTTCAAAAGAGTCTTCTGAGCAGGGCCAGAGCTAGGCTTTCCGCTGCCCGGTGTAAATTGTAATTTCTAAATACCGGCTTTGCTGCCAAGCAAACGTTTTTGAATTATAACTTGAAAATTTGTTTCAATTTTTGTTGAATGACAGTAAACGAAATTTTGTAAAAAAATACTTATTTGTATTCCATTTTTTTTAATGAAGTCCAAATAAGCAATATTTGAAAGCTGACAGCGCTAGCTATAGTTAATACCTAATTACGGGCAGATAAACTGCATTTACATTTCTTTATATGTTAAAAAATCATTTAATATTATTGAGTTATTGTTCATCCACATGCACTCGTATATAAAAAGTGAATCCTGATTTAAAATTAACTCGGGATAATGTTATTCTTTGCACTTTTGGCTTGGAAGTTGTCTGAAACTTGTTCATTTAATTAAAAGCAAAGATATAACTTTGTAATTAATTAGCTTACTAATCGTTTTTAAAAATAATTTCATCATTCAGTTCTTTGACATACAACTTAAAAACCGCTGAAGCCGCGAAAAGGTTTTAAATTTTTATTTTTTAAAGATTGCAATCTAATTCTTATTTACTATTGTTTAGCAAATCACACTTAAATTTATATCAGATATATAAATATTGTTTATGTCTTACTTAAGATTGTTAATTTTGCTTTAGAAATAAAACAAAACAGCGAACATGACACATGCAACAAAATGTCTGGATTTCAACCATTTAATTTAATATCTTATTTGAAGTTTTCTACTTCAGAGCTAGGCAGCAATCACTATTCATATGTAATTAAATTAAAAGTATCAGAGCAGAGAATGAGAAATAAGATTGAATTTGTAAACTAAATTTAAATATGCTTGATCATTTTTAAAGTGAGTAAACTTATTTTTCACGGGAATATGTGTATAAATGGGGTGCAGTAAAGCAGTTTTTTAAATTAATTACAGCAGAAGACTAGAATTCAGCCAAAAGTACATTTAGAAGACTTTGTAACAACACTGAAGGAAAAAGTTGAGGAATAAGACTGACTTTTAAATGGGTAGTACTAATGACTGTTTTGCCCAGAAATTTTTCATTTATTTTACAATAAAAAGTTTCAATATATTTTGATTTTGGCTACCTTTTTTTATTACAATACATCAAATATTTTCTTGTAAGAACTGTTCATTTGTTTAATAATTACAGGAAAAAAATCTTTTTTTTTTTTTTGTTGTTGTTGTTGTGCAAAGCTGCTAAAATTCTACTCTGTGGAATAGAAAAAAATATTCTATGATACTTGCTTTGCGTAAATGCTAATATATCCGTACCTTGTGCTTTTACACTGTGTGCTCCTTAATCATTAGAAAAATTATTGTGTGAATAATTTATCATATGCATTATTTTCGTTAGGAAGATCTTCAATCAACTCTGAACAAGATAAAGGTTAAACTGGAAAAGGAAACCGTTGGCCATCTGGAGGCAAATCAAAAGATTGCTGAACTTGAATATCAAATTAATGAACTGAATTTAATGGTTTGTTTCTTTGAGAAGCTATTGCAAATACCCATTTTTTTTTTCTCTTTATTTTGCGGTATTTTTCTGTTTAACCCCTTCCCGCGCCATTTACCTCGATGAAACTTGGGCCCAAGTGTTATCGGTCAAAGCGCGGTGAATAAGCCAGACTGCTGCTTGAAAACAGACACAATACGAGCCGAAACGTAAATGCCTGTGTTATAGTCAGTTTTGCGCGATACTACTTACTGGAGTGGAAATAAACTTTAATCCTTCTGCTTTTTGTACATATTATAAATATATTATATTTTGTAATAAATAACAGTTTCAAAATTATATTTCACAAATAAACAACACTTCAAGTAAGTAAACTTTAATCCTTCTGCAGATATTATTAAGTATATATTTTTAATAAATATTATATAATTTAATAAAGAATCGTGACTAACTGTTGTGGTGTACTGATAGGTGTTCGATTACTCGCGTGAAATTACGATGTTAATGTTTACGAGCCCGGCTCGTAATACTTATGTTTGGCTCATGTTTCTTTTCACGAGCTTGGCTCGTGATGTTTACGTTTGACCCGGCTTTCTGTTCACGAGCCTGGTTCGTGATGTTTATGTTTGGAAAAAATCTTCATCACGAGTCAGATTCGTTAAAGCACAGGAAGGGGTTAAATAACAGTTTTTAAAAATAAGCAGAATTCAACTTTAAATTGATATTAGCTAGCAGAAAATCTCTTTGTGTTTCCATGGTCAGTTTCTCTTGAAATGCTGAGTTTTTCGAGAAAATCGGAATCAGTTTAAGATTGAAATCTGCTTAATTTTAAATTTAAAAGTAGGCCTTTTTTTCTTCGGTGAATTTATGTTATTTTAAAATATTGTTTCAGTCAGTAAAAAATTTTAAAAGTTCTTAAAAACTTTCTACTATCCAGAGGTAAGCTTAACATTACTGTTAATTTAATTTTTCAGTTTGAAAGAGAAATGTGCGTAGTATAAAATTTGAAATTAAGAGAAAAAGCAACCTTATCGTAATTCTGATTTTCGTTCTGCAAACAATTGTGCATGAAGCACCTTCAGTTGATGAAATGGATTTTCTTGAAGCTTTTCATATTCACAAAAACTTAACTTAGTTAATAATATTAATTTCAATTAAATTCTTTTTAAAGGCTTTCAGAATATTAATAGCTTAGTTTTTACGTTTCATTGTTATTTTCCTCGACAGATGACGCTACGTTCGTTTTTGCTTTTGACATGAAATGTTTGTCGCTCCTCCTATTTTTGCTAAAAAGTGTTGTGGCTCCTGAATAAGACCTGTTCCTGAGCGCTCTCGAAATCTATAGCGGTTTGTTCAAAATATACTCCAAGTTAAGGTTGCTTTTTTACGTAATTTTAAGATTTAATTACTTTTTTAATTTAACTACGAACATTTTTTCCTTTTATAAAATTTTAGCTGGAGATGGAAAAACAACAAAGAACACAAGTAGAAAATCTAGCCAAAGCTGGCTGTTTATCTGATGATGCCAAAGCTGGAATCCGGCCATCATCTAGTATTGTGCCATGTCCACCTCCACCTCCTCCTCCTCCACATGCGTTGCATCCGAATCCTCCTCCTGCACCACCTGGACCTCCACCACCACCACCACTTCGTATAGGCAAGTTTTTCTTGAAATGAAAGAAAGATATTAAATTACATGCAAGCTATCACATGCATGTCTAGATATAAACTACTTGAAAAAATGCATATTTTATTAGAGATTTTATTTATTTAAATTAGTGAATATAATAAATTGTAGAAAGTACAAGTATTGATTACTTGTTTTAATTTTAGTTATTGAATAATACATTGAAGTAATATGTACAGTTAGTCTGTTATATTATTGGATGCTTCACCTTAATGTCATAGAAAATCTTATTTACATATTGTTGTATCTGTAGCGATCTCGAAAGCAAATCAATGCTCGCAAATTCGAGGAAATTTGAATTCTTGAACCTAGCGCAACGAAGCTCTTTTGCGCTAATGTTAGAGAATTCTGCTCTCAATAAACAGACTCAGGATCGAATCCGAAGGTCGTAACCCTCTTCAATTGCATATGAAACTCGTGCTCGCTCGTACTTCTCATTGGTACTGATAGATGGCGACAATCAATCAATCAGACAAATTATTGCTGGGATAGCGCGCGAAGCGCGCTGTTTCCAGCTCATGAAAAGTTGCGTATAAGCACATGACTTTAAAAAATTCTGAAGTTGTAGCTGAACTATTGAAGTGATGAAAAAGGAAGGCCTAAAGCATGGCAGGCGTAGAGGGAGGTGTCAGTCATGAGAAGTAGGCGTGTCTACTAACCAGAGCAGGAACGCAGAGTCCGGAGGGCGGTGCTATCCCCTGAAGCCCGAGCAAACTCGAAATTAAGCAAAGTTAATATCAAATTCATCATGCAAAAGAATAATATAAAATTTACAAGTCCATTTTTATCATCTGTTCAACCATTCCCAGGGCAAGTAATACTTTGTCCTGCGGCGAATCAATTTTCAACAAATTCTAGGAATTGATTGCAATCTTCTGAAGGTTTTTATCCATCGCGAAATCCACTTTATCTGGAGTACTAGCATCTAAGTGGGAGTCTGATGGCATACTATTATCTTTCTGTAATGGTATTTCAGTCAACGGAGACATATTCATAGACTGCGACTTCCGCGCTGAAATCCTTTTCATCCTGTCAGAGACAACACGAATTTTTGGTTTAAATTCGCATAACTTCGAAGTAGCAATATGATCCTTTTTACAGTTCGCGCAAGTAGGTTTCAGTTCTTTGGCTAATTTGCATGTGTAGGTCAGGTGTCCCTGACCACACTTGAGACATCTTGGCGAATTGTTACAAAACATCGGACCGTGTCCATATCGTTGACATCTGAAGCAAATCATGTTGCTTAGATTGCATCTGTATCTTCTAAACTTGACTCTAAGGTCCAGCAGAGTTTTCTTTCTGTAGAAATGTTTCTACTCACTTCGTTCCTTTTGAATGATGCAAAGAAAACTGGTAACTTTATTTCTTTACCCATCAATTTTCTTGGTAAACTGCGTTACGTTTAATACAGGGAATCCATCTTTAACCAACTCAGCCTTGATTTCTTCCACAGACGAGTCGTCAGGGAATCAATCCACGAATAACCACTTTCAAGCGGTGTATCTTTCTTAGGGCGAAAGGTGCTAAATTGCACTTCCATCTTTCATTAGCACAGCTAGTGCTCTATCTCTTTGATCGGCTGTATTAAAAATCAGAGTGATTTTATCGTTAGTCAAAACACCAACGTAATCCTTGACATCAAATGTGTTAAATTGTCATCTCAATTCGCTCCATTTCACATCCGGTCTTGGGCAGAAAATCGGTGGAAGTCGTTCACTTTTATGATCAGTCTTAGCGTTAGAAACAAACATAAGATCTTTATCAGCTTTCTTGGAATTATCAGCACAGTCCATAGCAACTGGATCAGGAATTGTAGCGAGAGCTTCAAAACAGTTCGACGTTACTACTTTGGAAATCTCAGTAGCAGCGGAAGTCTTCTTCGTAGGGGTTTTCAACGGTTCCTTAACAGGAGCAGCGAAAATCTTAGCAGTCTTCGTAGGCTTTTGCCATTCATCATCTGTAGTTTTATCTGATATGAGAAACTGCTTTCTCTTCCTTTCAGCTTGCCTTCGGTGAAATTCAATCACAATCGGATGCTTTTTGGGAAATTCTTTCATGAAATCTTTATCACAGAATTGATCCAATGAAAGGCTTTCCTTCTCCATAAGGGCAAGGAAAATCTTCTCCGCTTTCCTTAGAGCTGCTTTAGCAGGCCTGCCGTTCCGTAATTGTTCTTGCAGAACATCCACTTTGTTAAGAGCTTCGTATATCTCTTTATTTGCAGGATCATCCAAAGCATGACCAAAATTCTTTAATACAGCATACGACTGGTCCACAAGGACCGAACGATGTTCGTTAGGCATAGCGATAATGCACGAGGCAAGGGACGTACTTCGAAAAATTCACGTGGTTAAAACCAGAGAAGCGTCGGAGATAGACAACCTTCACGTATGAAAGCCACACCTCGAATGATAGATGGCGACGCGAGCAAGCAACAATTACTCGAGGCCTCTCGCACCACGTGATCACTACATATTCCCATCTCAGATTTCTTTTTAACTCATCTAATTTAAAAAACTTCTCTCCTCGGACTTCTAATACTGGGGATTTCTCCTTGATTTCATATTTAGAGATATTTTATTAGACTAGCGAGATTAAGTAAATTTGTGACACTAACGTAATCTCTTATTGGTTAAATATAAGCAGAAATCTTACGTTAAAAATCTCAGTGAAGCCATTAAAATAATCCTTTATCTTTGTTTTTATATTAAGCTGAATTTGTTATTCATTCATTTATCCACTTTGCACATATTGCTAGTATCAAACAGTTTTTAAGTGATGTATTCTATCAGAATGCTTACTCAGCAACTCAGTACTAATGAATGCAGTTAACATTTGTTTCATCAAAGCATTTTTTTATATTCGTTATCCTAAATTTTATTTATTTAACATAAACTAATCTAAAATAAAATACTTAGTACTATATATTCACTTAATTAGCAGTAAGATATTAATTAATAAAAAAAGTACCGTATCTTCTATAATAATAAAAGCAAGTGTAATGTGTCTGTCTGTCTGTCTGACCGAGCTCTCCAGCCAAATCTATCGCACGCAGGGACCTGGAATTTTTTATACGGAAGCACAAAGGGGCTGGCCACCAGACCTCGAAGCCCGATTTTCGATTTTGAATTAGAAAAATTTTAAAAAAATTATTTATAATTTATTAATCATGGTTTTTTTGACTCACTGATATTATTATTTGTTTTCAAATAACGTTCGATTGTAACAATTGATTTCTTTATTCTAGCGTTAGTTGCTGTTTTGACGATACATTAAATCGATTAATTACAATTCATTTCTTTTTTGTAGCTTGTGGGGGGGGAAGAGAGAGAGACAGTCTACATGTCCTACACTACTATTCCTGCGCTATTCACTTATCTGCATTTTCTAAATGCACGGGCAACGCCGGACGGGTACACCTAGTATTGTATAAATATCCCAATGTAAATTTTATCGAACATTTCATTTTTTTGATAATTTTATATCAAGACTGTTAAGTATAGTCTCAATATAAAATCTTCAAATATTTGACATGAGATAAATTATCACATATATTTTTCAAAACACTGTTTTATTCAAATCAAAAACAATTTGCCTCACAAATTTGTTTGTAAAACTATTAACATATTTTCTTCACAGGCTCATTGACAGATAAACCGATTAATGCATCTAAAACATTAATGAAGAACATACCTCAGCCATCTAATCCCCTGAAATCTTTCAACTGGTGTAAACTTCCAGAGGTAAGCTAACATTTACATACTTATTTACTTGGATTTTTATTTTACTGAAAAAGTAACTAACTTTATATTATTTAACTGATATTTATTGCAGAGTAAATTGGAAGGAACTGTGTGGGAAGAACTTGATGATACAAAATTGTACAAAGATATTGATTTAACTGACTTTGACAAAACGTTCTCAGCCTATCAAAAACAGCAAGTAAGTTTTCTATCATAACACTGGAAGTTTCATATGCATTAAAGTTACATATAAAAGCTTAGGCCATTCTTAAATGTAATGTTAAATAATGAATTGCAAAAACGTTAACTATCTATTTCATTATTCATTTTCTTTGTCCATTATGAAAATAACAGTAATAACTTTAAGTAATTAATTAACTTCATATCGGTCATCTGGCTAACTGAGGCCTTATTATTCAAGAATCAGTTTTAAGTATCTTATATTCTAGTGACCTGGCTCTATGTAAAATTTTGATCTGAGTTAGTGGGGTTTTTTTTCTATCCTGAAAATATGCACAGTGCATCAGCATAAAATAATATATTATAAACTCTAATCACATTAAAGAGTCAAATTATATATCTAATTTGTTTAATGTCTAATTATGAATATAATTTATGAGCTGAAATGTTGAGAATGGAGAAAATTCAATTACTGGAAGAAAAATATGATCCCAGATATTCAGCACAATTTTGTCTTATAGTTATTTAATTCCTATTGGGAGAAAAATTATTATTACAATAGTTTTTTAAACAAAATTATTAACAGAATAGATGGAATTGTCCCAAGTTAAAAGGCATTACTAGAAGCTTATTTTTAGCTTTTTTCTTAAATGAAAAAAATCTATAAATTTCTGTTTTAGTGCAATGGATCCGTTGAAGAAGATATTCCAGCTGTAGTTACAAGAGCTACTATTAAATCAAGGGAGCTTTCTGTTATTGATGGTCGAAGAGCTCAAAATTGTACTATACTACTTTCCAAACTCAGGTTATCAAACGAAGATATTTGTAAAGCGATTCTGAGCATGGACCACAAAGAACAGTTACCCAAAGATATGGTTGAGCAGGTATTTTGAAATATCTACATTAAGGGGTATAAAATTAAATTTTACTAAACTATTTTAAATTAGTATTTTCTCTTACTTGTTTTTAATGTTTGCTATTCAAATTTTACTTTAGCTCCTTAAGTTTATGCCTAGTCAAGAAGAAAAAGCCTTACTGGAAGAGCACAGTATGGAAATAGATAATATGGCAAGAGCTGATCGTTTTCTTTTCGAAATAAGCAAGTGAGATATATTTCTATTTATAATAATAACGTTTGTTTCAACAAATTGTTTTTAAGTAGCTTTATACGTGATACTAAGTATTTTAAACTTCCAGAATCATGATAGAAGTGTTTTGACTTATCCTGCTGGTTTCTGAAAATAAGTTAACTCAGATCTTTTTATTTATTAGGAACATAAATTAACTAGTCATTCAACGTCTTATGTTTAATTTTCACTACTTTAAATAGAATAAAAATGAATATAAGGTACTTTAAAATGCGTTTTTAAGTCTATAAGCACACAGCAGTCGGGTCTTGTTATTCATCAGGAATATTAATTAACTAGCCATCCAACATCTTATATTTAATTTTCACTTCTTTCAATATAATAAAAATGGATGTATGATACTCAAAAATGCGTTTTCCATTCAAAAGTATTAACATACAAACTGTAGATGCAAAATAAAAAGCGTTAATGCGTAAACAGTATAGATGAATTCTAGAAGAGCTTAACTCTACAAATTTCAAAATTTTGCAAACAATAACAAATGTTTAAATCAAATGATTGTCTAAAGTTAAAAAATTAGTTATTTTGTTCAATAATAACTTAATATCTCTACTAATGCCGAAATTATTAGTCATTTGTCTTTAAAAAAATGCGTGTTTCTATTTAAACGTAAATTAAAAAAAAAGTTGTTGCATACAATATTTTATGAAACAATTTAATTTAAAAAATTCGCCTCTTCTTCAGGATAAAAAATTGTATCCTCTTCGTCTCAAAATACTTATCAAATTATGTATGGTGTAAGATAGCATGGTATCAGAATTTTCTCTTCTTGACAGGAGAAATTTCAAAAACCTCGAAATCGTTAATAAAGTGAGAAGAAATTTAACGTGTTTTGCAAAGAGGGAAAATAATTACTTCATTATCTGTTGCATTAAAGGGGAAAATAAGAAGAGAAGACAAAGAAGGTAAAGGCTAATGATTTTGGGAGCTAATGGTTCTGTTTTCTATCGTAAATGATGCAAGCTCATATTTTTACTAAAAGTAAATAAAAATAAGAAGTATAATGCAAAACACCAGTCTTTTAGGCAGAAATTATGGTTGCACATTTTTCATGAATTCAAAGCTATGAGGTACACAATTCACAAATATTCAAAGTCTCAGAATGATGCAGGCTATGAGTAGAAAATCATATTTTGAAAAATTAAATATGTAATTTAAATCCAGTCTAGTTTATTTGTTTAATTTTATTTGAATTTAACTAAAAGTAATAACTGTGTTGCCTTTTATTTTAGAATTGTTCATTATGAACAAAGAATTAGGACATTATTTTACAAAAAGAAGTTCCAAGAAAGAGTGAGTGATGCCAAGCCAAAAATTGAAGGTATATATTTCTGTCTACGTAAACAATGTAAAATTTGTGATAATATCTTTAGCTTTGAATAGTGGTATGAAGACAGGTTTCTGCTTTTCTAGACTAATGCAGTATGATCGAGTGGAGATGATTAAAATTTATGCTTATTTTTAATATCTTTATAAAGGATGCTGCATTTTTGCCATTGTTTTCATCATCACTAATATTAATTGATAGTAGCGCCGTATACAAAGTGTCAGGGCCTTTTTTCTGTATGTGATACTTCATATTTTTACGTAGTTTTCTCATATACAATATCCGTAACTTTTTGCTATACTTGAGAAATTTAAAAGACTTTAAAGAGCATTGTTTTCTGTAATTTGTGCAGTAAGAAGTTTTACATGTTTCGAAATATTTTTCTTGCTCATTTACTAAATGTTAAATTATAAAAGAAAATTGAATTGTATAGGATAAATATTAGAAAACAGGATATATGCCAACATATAATAGGATGTTTCCCAAATTCTAGGAATTGAGCTTTAGTTCAATTTTTGAAACTTAAGCAATGCTGTAGATCAGAGACAAGTCTTGACATATTTATGCAGCTATGCCATGCAGTATTAATTCGATTCTGTTGTTTGACTGCTACAGGCGCATTTTGTGGAAACAGGACGTGAAAAGTTAAGAAATTTTTCATTGTCTGTGAAGAGTATCCTCTTACTAAATTTGAAAAAAACTTTTATGGGTGTTCGATTTGAGAGTTTAACCGTGCCATAAATAGGTGGATTAAGGAGATATCAGAAGCGTTCTTTGGAGGCAGTTTAAAAAATTAGTTTCCCACTGGGATAAGTGTAATTATGTGGGGATTATACTGAAAAACTGCATTTTAATACCGATGAAAATTGATGAAATACAAAAATATACTTAAATTCCTAGAACTTTGGAAACATCTCTCCTATGTAATTTCTTTTATTCTTATAGATATTCTACAACAGTTCTAAAGATCTATCACTTTATTTGTTTATTTCATAATAGTTACCACTTTTATGGGTATAAAACTAATATACATTTAAATAAATATTTAGCAGTCCTAGAGGCATCAAAAGAACTTCACAGGAGTAAAAGACTTAAAAGGCTATTGGAACTCATCCTCGCATTTGGAAATTACATGAATCGAGGGGCTAGAGGGAATGCTTCCGGTTTCCATCTTGCAAGTCTAAACCGTATAGCAGATACTAAATCTAGTATAAATAGGAATATGACTCTGTTGCATTATATTATAGACACTTTAGAAAAAAAAGTAAGTTCAGTAGTGCTTTCTGTTTCTTTGGTCAAAGTATAATAATGTTGCTTTCAACAATATCCAAAGAGTTCTAATAGTTTTTTCACAAACCAGTTGCAAATATCAGTTTTCATGTGCCTTGTGTAAGATTTTATTTTTGTATATCTTAAAAAGAACTATTCATAAAATATGTGATATAACAACTGTATATATATAATTTTTAGATTCCAGAAAAAATATGTAAAATCATTCAGATGTATTTTTAAATGAATGCATATAATTATTTTAATTGTATTTTCTGTATTTCATTTCTATTAATTCAGTGATTACACAATATAATCAATATTCTTGTTAGTATATTATTCAGCAGAAATTATAATAAAAGACTGGATAATCATACCTCTCTCGTAGACAATATACTATTGGGTGATGACATTTAAGATATGAAAATAGTATTGCATTCCTATAATTTATTCTTGTCAGTTTCATAGTACAGACATAGGAATCACCTCTCATAAGTATATTTAACTTTACTCTTCTCATTACACATCTGCATCTATATATACTGTATTTTATCTGATGTGGCATTATGTAAGTGCACATATATATAATAAATTAAACAAATAAGTTAAAATTGTCCAGGATATTTTTTTAGAATATATAATTTTATTGTAAAAAAAATAAAAATGACTACTTCTTCAAAGCTCATTGTTAAAAAGTATTTATAATGATTGTACAAAAAAACACATGAGAAATAAAATTATAAAAGAAAGAAAATAAAACAAGTAATGATGTTGCCAATGAAAGAAATTTATATTTTTACTCTTCAAGGGAATGTAATCTGAAATTCTTCCGTTAGTCAACCTCAAAGAGTCCTATAATAAGCTTTTCTGCCCTTCTCTATAGACGAAAATCACTCTTTTTCTGTAATAATAATTAGTATGATTTCAAAAATTAAGTATTACACTTCTACGGTTTTTAAGAAATCTTACCTTGCAGATACTAAACTATGAAATAATTGCAACTAATTTCAAAGTAAAATTTAGAGAGCAAAACTTTCATGTAGTTTGAAAAATTTAAAAGAATCAACTAGGTAAAAAAACATCTGACAAATTAAAACAAGTTAAAAAAACTAAATAACTACAAAACTATAAAAGCTATAAATGTAATACAAGCTAGATCCATAATTAATAACTTATTAATTCTGTCACATCTGTGTTATTACATTGACTGAAATATAAATTAATGTATTAACGAAGATCAAAAACTTATCTGCGATTTTGTTACATATAAGTACATTAGTTTTTTGGAACAATTTCAGCTACATTAGTGCTGGATTTAAGGTTTTAAAGCCCCTTTTTTACACTTTATTTTATTATATATATATTTATACATGTACTTATTAAGTGATATTTTTTATTGCACTAGTTTAAAGATGTTCTCAAGATTGAGGAAGATATTCACCATGTTAGACAAGCTGCTAAAGTGAAGTAAGTTTTCTTTTGTTTGGGGCCTTCAATTAAGTTTTAAATTATAAATTCCCCTAACTTATGAGAAAATAAGTACAAAGCTCATAAATTTAACTTAAATATAGATGCATTTGCTTAACTTCACTCTACAGTGTAACAAAAGAAGTGGTATCCTGAGAGCAGAACAGTATCGGCGAGGAGGTAGCATTAATCATATGGTGCGAAGGACTATGTTGCTGTGCTTTAATTGTGATAATTAAAATAATATCCAGAATCATTATTAACCCTTTATCTTAAAAGTTTATCTCGACCAAAACTACAAATGTAATTTGAAGACTTACAAGCAGACGAATAATTAATATGATTGCTAGTATTTATGCAAATATTCAATGGTTTATTGCTAATACTACGTCTCTGTCTGTGTTAAAATAAAGTTAAATATTTAATCTAAAAAATAATTAAATTATGCCTTAAAATTGTTCTAATAAACTGCTCAATTTAATTTAAATTTAATTGTATCATTTAAAGAAATAGGATGTATTCTGAAAACCAGTAGTCATATTCGCAATCGATCGAAACTATCTCACTAGAACTTATTTATAGTCATCTGAAGCATTGATCGTCATGAAACTGAAAAATTATTTATTTGGACATATGTTAACCAACAATCTTTTTAACCCAATAATAAAATACTTATTTTTAAAATGACTATTATATTTTTTCACATTTCTAAGCTTCTTAAGTTTGTTTTGAATCTCAAATAAGCGGTCGACTGTCTGCGAGAAAAACACGCCTTGATAGCCAAAATATTTTCCATTAAGAAAACTTCCTGATGCTTTTCGGCGTGTATAAAATTTATATTTAAATGCATAACAGTTTGTGCATAAAATTAACATTTTGCTTTTCATTCTTCTGTTTTCTATAAATGTTTTCATTCCTCATGTTGACTATAGTCGACATTAGAGAGTGGATGCTCGTGCCGACTATAATCACGGTTCATTTAATGAGCCACACAAATTAACACTGGCTATAGTTAGCATCCATGCAAGAATCTATGAATGTGGATGCCATCCATCACAACTTGTAATCACGCATTTTTGATGAATCATTTGCGTCCTTCATTTATGATGAAGCAATAATATTCGTTTATCATTAGCTTCCATTTTCAGTAAAAGAATGGATACTTAATGACTAATAAATTATGGCTGGTGAATACAATTAATTTGATACTTTAATGAGATGATTAAATGCAATGTAAAATTTCCACGAAACTTCTAAAATTCGGATGACGTCATTTAAAATCTGTCATACAGATCATTTTAAATCCATCATATATGATATTATTAATTTTTTAATATGTTAATTATGAATTATTTTTATTAATTTTGAAAAGTATGTTTTACAACAATAAAGCATAATTACAAAACAATCTCTTAAATGTAAATTTAACTCTCATTTAATGCTATTCTATCAAAATGTAGTTAACAATGGAAAAAATAACATTTTGGTTCACTGCCATAGATGTCCCTGTGTCTATCACAGGCCCACTAGGGGCCAAGTGGATAAGACATTGAATACTGGACATACCAGGATTTAAATTTAAGAAAAAGCAACTTCAAAAAATATTTAGGAAAAGCAGCAGTCATTAAAGGATATAAAATTACAAAATATGAGTTATGAATATTATTATATGAATACTATATTAATAATAATTTAAGATTAAACTGCGAGGATATTATTGAAAAACTCAGATATAATTCTCGACTGATTAGTATTAAAGTAAATGTTCGATACTGAGATATTGCTTTTAACATAAAGTTATAATCTGCAATATCAAACCCATTAAAAAGTTTAAAAAATTAAGCATCTTAATAGCATCCTAAATTGTCATTAAAGATTGACTAAGAAACAGAAAATATTTCTGGCAAAATAACTTTCTTGAGCATTCTTATTCTTCCGAAGAAGAAAAACCACAGGGTAATTTCAGAAATTATGTTCACTGCAGCAGTGCTTGGATAATAAATTGCAATTTGTTCATTTAGAAATGATTTGGGAGAAAACCCTTTGTTTACAGTGCATTTGGGGATTCATTGTATTGGAAAGCCAGTTGCAACTATCCTTCCACTTAATGCACCAATCGAAACTATACATTTTGCCCCTAAATAGAGGTTAGGTTAGGTTATCTGAAGGTGGGAAGTTCACAAGAGCTATCTGCCTAAGAGAAGGGATGCCTTCATGGAGAACTTTCTAAGAGAAACGGGCTCGCACTCACGTTGCATATAAGAAACATCACGAAAAACCAACCATGCAGCCAGCCCGTTCGCCTATACTTCATTAACTGCTAGTAGCCACAGCCTTTTATCTAATCAACGTTATATCAAGCCTTTGCCAAATGGATCACATCCTCAAAATCAGGTATGTCTGCTAGCAAAGCTGCAATTGCCACAGTCATCTCACTCACAAATTTTGATGGCTTCCATAATACCGAAGTCTGCATCCAGCTGGTCATTTGCCTCCATCACCTCCAGATCCTGGTAGTGGATCCAAGCCAAATACATTGAATTCCAAAACACTTTATGTTATAATGTGACAACTGAGGTGAGTAGTTAAAAGAATGCTATATTTTCAGGGCCTTAAACGTTTTGTATCCAGCCTTGATTACTATTACGACTATGTCGTTCTTGAAAAGTAGATACCGGTCAAATGTCATTCATGGATATACTTCCATTTTCAGATAGGGTTTAGAGAATTTATTTATTTGCTTATTTTACAGATAATAAGGCAGTATACCTCAAAGACTGTTTCAGTAAGGCCCTGATAATTGGAACGCAATGATTCCTGATTTACATCTTCCATATTTTTAAAACTGATTGCTTAAATAAATTGAAATAAAACGTGTTTTTCCAAATGAAAGTATATTCCCCCCCCTGCTACCCTTTTCTACAGGCCTCCGAGTGTCAGTGAATAGGTTCAATCTACTGATATGTGAAATATATGAATATTAAGGGCCAAGTTATTAAGCCATCATTATATGTAAAGCCTAGGAAATATGCATAATTATCTCATATGTATTATGTATAATGACTTAATTACTTGGTTCACAGTATATACAGTGCACCTACAAAGTTTTAAGGATGAACTGAGAAACCGCTTGTTTGAAGGAAACGCCTTATGATTGTTTTTCTATCCTTCAATAAGCACTGTATAGCTCTTAGTTTATCCACAGAAGTTCTGAATGCTTTCGTAAAGACCAATTGTTGAAAGATTCCTTTTCCTGTTTTTTGTTTTTCTGAATTTTTTTAAATGCAATCAAAATTGTGTTTTTCAGTGGAAGATTTCAATTTTGAAAGCAAAGTAATCTGCAAGATGTCAGATCTGGCAAGTTAAGGGTTGATTAAGAAAAGTTACTTTTTTTTTTAGTAATCTGAAGCTTGATGACAGTTGCATCATTGTAGCAAGAAGGGGAAATTAAGAGCTATCCGATCGACCCATTTCTGGTTTAACTTGGTAAAATATTTTTAGAAGTCGAGTCTGTTGCATCTTTGTACTTTTGTTCTCTTTAACCAAAAATTCATATCATTACTTCTTGCCAATCAAACATTTGTCAAAACGGACTTTACTAGTAGATTTTAAAAGTGAGTTTTTTGTGGGTAAGCTATATTTATTCTTACCCATGCTGAAGGTTGTTTTGTTTACAACTTTCGGGCTATAAATAGTTTGCTCAAAAGGTTTGGGACTACTGTATGCCATTTCAAATGAATACTTCATTCTTCAGTCCTTGAATCCCTGACTGCAGATACTGGCCGCGCGTATTTGATCACGACATTCCATTTAAACTCCTTTCCGATAAGGAAACGATATTTTAAATACTACAAAGTGTTGAGAAATGTTTGTAATCATTGCTTATTATTCAGGTCCACAGCGAGTGATTAAAATAATACGATCTTGAATCTTTGTAGACGCACTGCGTACATTACAAATCTAGAATGACTAAGTTAAATATTTTATGAAATTTTTCTAATTTTTCAGTTTGAATGAACTGACAAAGGAAATTCAAAGTCTGAAATCCGGCCTTCAAGAAGTGCAGAAAGTATGTTTTGGAAATTAAAAAGTATATATTCAGTTATATAGCTTTATATATGTATTAAGATTTTTTTTAAAAAATGAGTAGTGTTTAATTTAGGAACTTTAAATTAACCGTTCTCTTTTTCTCGCATTTAAATTAATTATATGTAATTAGTAATACAGGGATTTGAAATAAATTTGTTTAATGTGCATGATACAAATGTACGTATGCATTTTGTGTTTACATTTGCGTGTACTAAATTTGCTGAAATCAAATTCCCTACTTCAATGAAAGCACGTAGGGGAAAAAAAGAGAAGAAAGAATTTAAAAAGAAAAAAAAGGGAATGATTTTATTACGCCCTTCATCATCATCCAAAGTATTACCAAAATAAACCACATTCTTGATTCCATTGCTGGATGAATTTCCTAAATTGATAAAATTTTGAATTGAACTAAAGTTCTGAACACATTTAAACCAATAAATAAATTTTTATTTTAGTAATCGCTATCGTCAAGCTGACGATGGTTTTAGGGATGATTTTTGTCACCAATTTTGGAGAGAAATTGCCAAATTTGGCGACCGTTTGGTCTGGTTTCTGTGTGAGTGTAGTTATATTGTGATGGAATGGAATGAATGTAATTGATCCCATTATGTGACTGTAACTCAATCCGGTCCTCTTATGCTTTCCAGTAATTTCGAGAAGTGGAAAAAACTGGCGATTTCTCGTTGATCGGGAGAGGGCTATATAGGACTGGGAATAGTATCCGTTTTATTCAGTAATTTATCAGCGTGAGTTCGGTGTATTGAAAGATCTCCGTAGGAGCTTCGCCTTTGTAGATAGACTTTGCATTGCTTTGTGTTTAACGTCCTTAGTGCTTTGGAGTGTAAATACTGATTGTGCCCTGTGATAGAGCCATTGTTTGTGCTCTGAGAAGAGCTGTACTAGTGCTTTTGTGGAAAGTTCCAGAACTGTAACGTATTTCTTTTCGTAAAAGTAAATTTTATTGAGCTATCATCGGTTCTGTGTGCATTCAATCTCTTACGAACACGTACGTAAGTAACAATATCGTTATCTTCGTTTTAAAAATGTTTCTGTTCCATAATACACATACTTGTATAAAAAAATAAATATTAAAATAATTATCAAATTTTAACAATAAACTAAAAAAATGATAAAATAGGAAAAACGAGCAGTTTCTGCAGCACTCCACTAAATTCGAGTTTTCGGCAAAATATGAGAAATAATCGTTCTCACTTAAAACCACTTTAGAGTAGAGTGGTACAGTATTGGTTGTGTGTGTAACTCAGTGAAAACTTTTGGTGATGAGATAAATTAATTTTTTACGAATATAATTTAATATTTAAAACACGATAAACAATTAGAAAGTATGATAGTTAAAATAATGATTTACATGTTAATATTTTTGTATTTTTTTTTTTAAATTGTTAAATAATTAGTCATTTGCTAGCTAATGTATGAGGTAGTTTTTAAAAACACTTTAATATTATAAAACTTTCTTTTTATTAATTAAGCATAAATAATCGAAGTAAAAGCCAGAAAAGTGAGAATATGAATTTAAAAGTGTGATCTCGTCACATTATCGGGCTTTATAAGGACGTGGAATAAGAAATAAATCCATTTGTATGTAAAATAGAGTGAAAATTTGTGTTTTCGCATAAAAATTAAATTATATTTTTAACTTGTCATTACGAAACTCAATCTACCCCAGCTAAAAAAAACATTTAACTTACCCACAAGCAACGCTGTACCACTCCATTCTACAGTAATTTTTGTTAGTTATTTGAACTGTCAATGCTTATTTTCCCTCACTTTGGCCTAAAACTTGAATTCGGTAAATGTAGCAGAAAATAATTTTCCCCTCTTTATTATTGCTTTTTTCACATTTATTGTCGAATATTATGATTACGGTGTAACATGTTTATTATATTTTTATTTATTTTAAAATTATGTTAAATGTTTGTTTATTGTATTTTATATTTTACATGTTTATCCATAATTCATGCGAAATTTTTGTAAATATAACGCTGAATTTTGTTGTTTGACTTCTGAATTAGTATTTATTCGGCGTGTTATTGTGTCTTAATTATGTTTATACATGTTTAATAAACATGTTATGTTAATTGTGAGTTAATAACATGTTATTACATATTTAATTACATGTTTAATAAACATATTTTTATTTATTTTTAAATTATGTTAAATGTATGTTTATTATATTTTTATTTATTTTTAATTATTTTTAAATGAATTTTTATTTCATTTTAAATTATTAAATATTTATTATTTAATGTACAAAAAATTTAAACAATTAAAATTTTTTGTTTTGAAACAAAGATGGCGGTTTTTTTATGGCCTTACTTCGAGATATAGTGGATGAAGGTTCTTACAATCTTTTTTTCCTCCCTTCCAATGAAAAATAACTATCAATTCCTTTAGAATGACATTACTTTTAAACTTCTGTGCATATATGTACATATACAGGGTGTCCCGTAAATGTTGCGGCAAACTTCTGGGGAAGGTAGGGCATATCATAAGGATTAAGAATTGCATAGGAACCCGTGCCCAGATGCGTCGTTTTTACGCCGCCAGGGGTTGCTGTATAGGAGAGTGCTATTGGAAAGTGAGGATTGCCTCATTCATGCGGTAGGCACCATACGAACAGCATGGAACGCTATACGAACGGAAGCTTGCAGACATGCTCTTAGTGTATGGAATAGCTAAGAGTAATGCACCAGCCGCTGCACGCATTTATCGAGAACGCTTCCCCGACAGATATCAACCACACCACAGTTTGTTTACAGATTTGCATCAAAATTTGTGCGACTACGGGTCATTAAGAAGTGGTAAGACAAGTGAGGTGAGGTCATGATCGACTTGCTCGATCGTTATGGAAGAACGTGTTCCATGCGGTGGAGAGTAGTCCAAGGACCAGCATACGTGCCCATTTGCCTCTCAATTAAGAATGTCTCTTGAGAGCATCTCTTGAACGCAGAGCCCTTCCACGCCTTTCGTCTCCAAAGGGTTAAGTTACTGCTCCCCGATTACCATCCAGAACGTGTGCGTTTCGCACAGAGGTTTCTGAAAGAAAGTGCCCGTGATGTTAATTTCCCAGCTTATGTGTTTTTTACGGATGAGGCCACATTCAATAGGGATGGCGTATTCAGTCATCACAATCAGCATTTGTGGTTTCAAGAAAACGACTACGGTGTGCGGCACAACAAGGCTTCAAAATTAATGTGTGAGCGGGTTTGGTCGGCGACTGCTTAGTGAGAACCGTACCTTTTACCATCCAGGTTGAATGCCGTGAATTATCTGATCTTTCTGGAACAGATTCTTCCCGGCTTGCCTGATGATCCACCAAATGTGAAGCGCAACATGTGGCTCCAACATGATGGGGCGCCTGCTCATTTTGAACTGGATGGGAGCAGCCATTTGAACAAATCATTCCCGCGTCGATGGATTGGGCGTGGTGGATCTGTTCCCTGGCCCCCATGCTCACCGGATTTATCCAAACTTGATTTCTTTTTGTGGGGAGCCATTAAAAGTGCAGTGTATCACGATCCTGTTGTGTCTGAAATGGATCTCGTGGCAAGACTCGCCTGCGCAGCTGCTACAGTCAAAGAAACTCCCGGTGTATTTAAATATGTCCCGCAATCAATGGTCCGTTGGTGTCAGGCATGTTTAGCGTCTGATGGTTCAAATTTCGAACATGTGTTGTAAAATTCAAGCTATCGTACACCATTTGTATTTGCAGATACAGAATGACGATAAATGTAAACTATGTGATCTTGTTTGGTGATGCTAAGCATTTCCTCGAGGTCTGTCCCTACTTTGATGGCTTAAGAAACAATAAAAATATTGATTTTGAAAATCCCTTTTTATGCTATAAAGATTTCGCACAATTATGTAAATCTGTGATGAAATTTATTGCCGGTGAGCGCCAGGCAGTGGGAATCAGTGTATGATATTTGCATTTTATTGCCATCACTGATTGGTATATTTTAATAATTTGTTGTTACCATTGTTTGTGTTTGTTATTCGCTTTTTTGTTTTTGTCTTTAGTGTCTGCTCTTGTCTAAATGTTTGCATTTGTTCCCTTTCTTCACTTTTATGCTTATAATTATTATTTACACATGATTATTCTCATTTAGATATTTTATGTTTCATTTTTTCATTTGTTGAAATGGGCATGGCCTGTCATGACCATAAGACCAACTTGTTTGGTTAGGCGGGTCGGGCTGCGCCCGCTACTGATACTGATACCATTTGTATTCAAGTCCAATAAATGCTTCAAATCAATCACTCTCTTGTTTTCTTTCCCATTTTCTACCTCTGCTACCACTTACCCCTGACATTTCCGGGCATGGGTTCCTACGCAATTCTTAATCCTTATGATGTGCCCTACCTCCACCAGAAGTTTTTTCGCAACATTTACGGGACACCCTGTATATTAGTTTTATTACATGCATCTATTTTTTCTTCAGGGTAGTTGCATAGTTAAACGCGCCATTTTTTTTCCTCTTCTACCACACCGCTTCATGATACGAGGGGTGATCCAAAAAAAAGTTTACAAGGCAAATGAAAAAGTATTTATTAACAATAGAAACAAGATACAAATGAGAATCAAGAGACTTCACTTTTCCACATAGTCGCCAAACCTGTTTAGGCATTTGTCAGAACGTTCGACCAACTTGTTTATCCCGTCTTGGTAGTAATCAGGGCCTTGCTCATTGAGCCATTTCTCGGCAGCTGTTTTCATTGCATCGTCTGAGGTGAACCGTGTTCCGGATAAGTATCGCTTCAACGCCGGAAAAATGAAATAGTCACTTGGAGCCAAATCGGGGCTGTATGGGGGGTGATTCCTGACCTCCCAGTTGAACCTTTGCAGCAATTTCTGAGTCTGGCGAGCTGTATGGGGCCTGGCATTGTCATGCAGAAGAATGACGCCTTTGCTCAGTAATCCAGGCCGTTTGCGTCGGATGGCTTTACGCAATTTCGTTAAGGTGGCACAATAACGATCGGCCTTAATGGTATGGCCACGTTCCAAATCTCGATTAGGATAACACCAGTCGTATCCCAGAAAACGGTTGCCATCACTTTACCGGCAGAGGGTGTGACCTTAAACTTCTTCCTCGTCAGTGATCCAGCGTGTTTCCACCCCATCGTGGCTCTTTTTGGATGTGGGGGTGAAGTGATGCCGCGGACAACGCACGTGGAACCCAGCGGGCACAAACTTTGGAATATCGCAACTTATCGGTTACGATACGCTGAACGTTATCGTAACTCGGGTCCAACTCTGAGGCAATCTCACGCACGGTTACTCGTCGATCCCTTTGGATGATTTCTTGAACAAGTGCCGTGTTGATATCCAGCCTTGAAGAACTTGGACGGCCGCTCGCTTCCATTTTGCGGTTTTCCACATGCTCCCTGCCCGCTTAATAAGAACGACACCATTTCGCTACCTGTTGTCTACTCATTGCTTTGTCTCCGTATACCTCAACGATTTGTCTGTGAATTTCGGATGCGGCCACATTCTTGGCCCGTAAGAATCGAATTACGGCTCGCACCTCTATGCGAGACCACTTTTCTAGACGTCGTGCCATTACTGTCGCTTTTAAGTGTCTGCGTACTGATGCTACTTACTCGTAGAACCGCTGTAGGACAATTAGCGCCATCTGTCAACCACCCTGGGTGGAAATATTCGTTCCACAAACTCGTAGAACCGCTATAGGACAATTAGTGCCATCTGTCAACCACCCTGGGTGGAAATATTCGCTCCACAATTATTACGTTTCAATGCTTCTGCTTGTAAACTTTTTCTGGGATCAACCTACGTAATTCCGTCATTAAAAAAAAAAAAAAAAAAAAAAAAAAAAAAAGAAAGAGCGGCTGATTTTGATAATGATTCATTTGATAAAGCGCGACTTTTTTCTTCCTTCCTCAACAAGTTGCAGATTGTACGTTTTCACCCAATCAGCATCGAAATAAAGAACTTGAATGGGAGTTCTCTGCTGGTCTGTGTTTATGATGGAGAACAGATTTTTCTCTTTGTAAAGTGACTCCTAAGTGATTTGCTGTTGAATATATCATGTGACAAAGCAGAACAATAAATAGTTTCTCTTTCGAAATATTTAATTTGGTCTTCACCTTTGACCTTCTCACTCAAGCTATTCAGACAGGTTTACGTTAAGAGCCCTTATGGCATTTCTTTTACTTAGCCGGATACGTTGCCTCTTGGGTGATAGCCCGACCTTAAAGGTATTAATTAGATTGGATATTTAGAATGTATAATACGGCCCTCAAAAAGACAAATTAAATCATCTCAAATGTTTAATCTTTTGAGGACCACTAGCGGTCAAGCGCTAAAGTCGCTGAATGCTGGTAGTTCGACCTGGGCTGAATGCATTGGCGTTTTCGCGGGTTTCCCCATGTGTCACCTGGATGCGAGACATCTCTCTACTTAGGCAGATAATCTTAACGTGCTTTATCATAATCAAATAAGCCAAACCGAAAAGATTCATCTTTTGAATGAATAGTGTTTAAGATTTTTAGTTTTGCATTAAACTGATAGTACCATGCTGATAAAGAAGATTATCACCAGTAATTGTGACAATTTTCATTTAAATTTTTTGCGCTTTTCTTCTGCTTCATGTGTTTCATTATGGTTTTTAGCATTTAACACGCACATTTCTTATGTAAGAATAGAGGTATTTTTATATTATGGAAACTGCTTTTAATTCGGTAGCAAACTTAATGCTTCTGAAGATGAGAAGGCAATTTTGCTAAAGTAATAAATGCATTTACAAGAAATAGGCAAATAAGTGCAAAGAAGATTATAAATACAATGTTTTTAAAAAGCTGTATTTTCTGTTTATATTATATGTATTATTTATTAGGAGCTCGAATTTCACCGTTCCCAACCTCCAGAACTCACTGATAAATTTGTTCCGGTAATGAAAGAATTTATTACAACGGCAACTTATAGGTTTTCAGAACTAGAAGATACTTTCCAAGAAATGAAGCAACGAGTAAGTTTTGATTGAATGTAAATCAAGGAAAGAGTATTAATTACGTTTGTAGTGTGATGCAAGTTAATATCAAATATTTTATTGCTGCTTTCCTTTAGTACGAACAAGTAGTGAAACATTTTGGAGAGGATCCTTCACATTTACAACCAGATGAATTTTTTGCTATATTTGATACATTTCTGACGTCCTTCAATGAGGCTCGTCAAGATAACGAAACTTTTAGACGAAAGAGAGAGGACGAGGAGAAAAGAGCAAAACAAGAATCTGAGGTAAATTCATTTTTCTAGAATTGGCTTATATACATACACATAATTTTTTTAAGGACGTATGTTTCTAAGTTTTAATATATTTCTTTAAAGTAAAGCTAAAAAAAATGTTTCAAGCTTTCAATGCTCTAAATATTGAGTATAAAACATAAAAGTGATACAAATTTTTGTAGTTTTGATGGAAATTTTGTAAAAACATGTTGTATATGTTTTGATTATTTTCCATGTAAATTCAGAAAAATGTTCCATTTTAAATGATAGCAAACTGTTTTGATTTTTTTTCGCACCGAAACAGTGTAAAAGATAACAATGATTTTTCTGCGAGAATGTTTCATAAAAGTGTTCAACTTATCATTGAACTTTAGATTTCTGTAGCAATCTGGCAATAAACTCGCAGGACAGTTTTTCTTAGATTACGCCAATTCTCGTGCTTTTTCGGATTAATTTAATTTAAATGTGTCTATTTCTAGCATCGGTTCGTAAATCTCTGCAAACATTGTGATCAAATTCTGTGATCAAATAATACAAAATTACTTCGATATAAGCGCCAGAAACAGTAGGCAGATCGACAAAAACCATGTTATGTAGACATAAGTGAATTAAGACACAATAACACGCCGAACAAATACTGATTCAGAAGTCAAACAAGAAAAATCAGCGTTATATTTTCAAATTTTCACAGGACTAGTTTCGATGGTTTTACCGAACCATCATCCTCAGCTGCAAAAGCGCAAATGAACGAGATAAGATATAATGATCAGATAATATAAGAAAGCCTAGACAGAAAATGAGCTAGAGGCTCCATCGTTGATGAAACCAGAACTAAAACATAATTTCTTTAAAGGCCGAAGGCAAAGATGGATTGGAATTAGGATCGTTAACTAGAACAGAAAGATTGTTTTGAATGTGAAATGGCTCTAGAAAATCCAGCTCTCCAATAGAAGATGTTTTTTGAGTAATTTCGGCAGCAGAAAAATTGAAAGTGTGATTTTCGGACCAACAATGTTGGGCAACAGAAGACTTCTGTATTTCCTTTTTTCTAACATATGCCTCATGTTCCTTGACGCGAAATTTTAAAAGGCACACTCTTGTTTTAGGAGATTATAAAAATTCTGTTGTCATTCCCTTCTTTTCATCAATTAGCTATAAAGTTGCACATATTTTGCAGAAATTTAACTTTCGGGTCGTTTATTCTCCCATTAATAAAATTCCGAGTTCCATACTCAAGGACCCCATTCCGGATATGAATTCCTGAGGTATTTATAGGATTCCTTGCCAGTGTGGTTTAATTTACATTGGTCAAACTAAGAGAGCTTTAAAATTTCGCGTCAAGGAACATGAGGCATATGTTAGGAAAAAGGAAACACAAAAGTCTTCTGTTGCCCAACATTGTTGGTCCGAAAATCACACTTTCAATTTTTCTGCTGCCGAAATTACTCAAAAAACATCTTCTATTGGAGAGCTGGATTTTCTAGAGCCATTTCACATTCAAAACAATCTTTCTGTTCTAGTTAACGATCCTAATTCCAATCCATCTTTGCCTTCGGCCTTTAAAGAAATTATGTTTTAGTTCTGGTTTCATCAACAGATGGAGCCTCTAGCTCATTTTCTGTCTAGGCTTTCTTATATTATCTGATCATTATATCTTATCTCGTTCATTTGCGCTTTTGCAACTGAGGATGGTGGTTCGGTAAAATCATCGAAACTAGTCCTGTGAAAATTTGAAAATATAACGCTGCTTTTTGTTGTTTGACTTCTGAATTAGTACAAGTGAATTCCTTCAAAATGAATATCAAAACATTTTCCTCGGTAGGCATGTTATCATAATCATCAAAATGTGTGAAATTTATCGATAAGCGGACAATTTACAAACACTCATTCCGTAACAAAGAAAACATTTCTCAATGATTTTTGTAGTTTTCAGCCTGTTTATGAATGGGGAGTAGTCCAGAGATCGGCAGAGATCTCAATATATACGTTAACATCTTAATATAAACCACACATATTTTTCAGAACTGCCTTCCTGTAATTGTTTGAAATAGCATTCCCTTAATAATAAGTTATTCATCTATAAAAACATGTTGCATTCAATCCTAATCAATGCTTATACGTTTTTTGGGGGGTTTTGCATGCAAGAATCCTCAACTTCGTTTAATGCGAATAAGTTGCAAATTCTAGAAAATACTACTATATCATCCAAATAAATTCTGTTCAGCGGTTAACCGCTGGTTATAACACTGGCGTATGTGAAGCTTTCGACTTCCGGTCAGTTAAATCTTAAAATTGTTAAGTATCAAACATCACGCAGTTTGCTCTCAGATGACTATCAGAGTGGATACATAAGAATGAAATTCAATTGATTTGCCTTTATAGTGTGATATTATCAAATTTATGTTTCTTGAGAGACTTTCAAAAGAAGAGTGAGTGAGTAATGGAGGACATGGGCTCAATCTCTTTACCATTATAGTTAATCTGTACTGCACCACGTCCACCTTTATCTAGAGCAAACCCCATGGGTGGTAAACTGGGTCGACATGAGCATGCCGCACCGATCTCCTAAACCCAGCGCCCAGTCTCTTCTTATGCTTCCAGTTGTAGCAAATAGAATAAACATAGTATAAGTAAAATATAAATAAATGTAAATTAAAGAAAAAAACAAAAAATGCCTGATGCATTGTCAGTGTTTTAAAAAGTCATATATTTGTTTGTAGTCTTATTGCAGTGTAGGTAGTTATAATTGTGTATATGTATGTCGTAGTCTGTTAGTCTTGCATTGTAGTCATATTGCACAGTTATGCTTTTAAATCGTTATTTTAAAAGTATGCATATTGTAGTTCAGGTGATATGACATAATTCAATACTTAGTTCTGATAATTTATTTATAATTTTCATAACTTGTCTTGCCATATGCTTTACCCAGAATTTGCAAAATGCCCTTCTGTTTGCAAGTGGAATGCGTATATACAAAAAGTTAGTCAGTGGACAGCTCGTAACGCAATGCTCAGGTGTTCCTGTATCTCCACAGCTGCACTGATCTGTAGTTGCAATTGCATGTTAGACAAAGTATGATGAGAAGGGGCTGTATCCTGTGGTAAATCTGAATAAAAGTGGATTGTTAATATTTCTAGCTATGTCTACATATGCGATGTGGTAATGTGTACATATGCGATGTGGTAATGCCTGTATTGCTGTTGTCCCATTTCTCTCGCTACATTGAGATAGCTTATAAGCTGAGTGCTCTTTTTAAATGTGTAACTGGCCAGGGTATTATTATATTTTAAGAATCGATATTTATTGCTGTTTCTTTAGCAAAGGTGATCTGCTGTTTCATTGCCAATATGTCAAATTTTTTCATTCCATTTGTCCATTCTAGTTTGGTTTGAAGGCTGACTGATGTAAATCGTCTTGTGCTATTTTGATGATGGGTGAAGTGTGTTTTGGATTTAATATAGCATAAAGTGATGATAGGCGGTCAGTTTCGATAATGCTATTACTCAGGCTATGTTCGTGCATGTATCTAATTGTTTGAACTATTGCTTTTTTTTTTTACTGAACATTTGATATTGATGGGTTCTGTTTCTTTAATTTGACAGTTACCCCTATGCCTTTAAGAAATGTCAAAGTAAGAAACATTTCAAAAACTACATAAGGTAATGTGGCAAATGCCCTAAATTAAACCAGCATACAGGACCGGTTTGACGTTTCACGCCTGTCGACTGGAATGTCATGAGGCACCAAGGAGGTACAGTGGGACCTCAAGATACGAGTTTAATTCGTTCCAGCATTGAGCTCGTATAGCGGATTTCTCGTATCTAGAAACAAACTTCCTCATTGAAAATAATGAAAATCCAATTACTCCGTTCCACAGCCTCAAAAATATCAACATAAAAATCAGGTTTTCGAATAAATAACACTGGTAAATAATATAACCATAGTTTACCTTTATGATAGCTTCCGACACCGAGCCTTTAACTGCTTCTCGTTAATCCACATCAACAACAGCTTATCAACATCTTCTAAGAGTTTAGACGGTGCTTGGAAGTAACGGGTAACTCCTTTGGCTACATCAAGTTTCTTAATTTCTCTCTGCTTCTTCAGAATAGTGTAAATCGTCGATGTTGAAAGGCCGTCACTCTTACACCACGCTAATGCTTATCTATGATTTTTTTCTTAATTTCAAGCGCCATGGCTTCCTTATTTTTCTTTGCAGCACTATTCGAGGCAGTAATCTTCTTGGGAGGCATCGTGAAATAATTATTTTCACGTTAAAAGTAATAACAATTAATTCACAAGCGCACAAACACGTAGATCAAAGAACACTGAGTGATCTGACGAGATTTCCCGAGTCGAGCCGGATCGGGAAATAGCGCCACGCATACTACTGAGCTTGTTGCTCGATTCAGTGCTCGTATTTAGAGACAAAATTTTTGCTCATACTTTCCTCGCATCTCGAATTTCTCGTATATAGAGGTGCTCGTATTTCAAGGTTCCACTGTAATTATAAAATTGGACTTCAAACTAAGAACATGATCGAAACCATAAAAATTGCTATCACGCACTAGAGGTTGTAGTTCATGATGCCTTTTTCGGCTGTTACTGGAATTTAAGTCGATTTGTGACGTTACTTTGATCAACAAACTACACATGTGTCAGAAACATGCAAAACGGATCCCACATGAAGTAGATCCAGGGTCAATTAGCGGTAAATGTTGATTACTGCTAAATAAATCCGCAAGCGTATAAGCAACAGTGAAGGCGTCTGATCACGCGGTGACCATTGACGATATACGGATCAGTTTACAACAACCATTCCAAAAAGATCAAGCGAAGTACTTGGCTCGAAATAAAAAAAGGAAAAAAAAAAAAAAAAAAAAAAAAAAAAAAAAAAAAAAAAAAAACAGTTGTGCAGTGTCACGCTTTGATAAATTCAGATGTAATTTGATATGTTCAGACATTTGTAATACGAACTTTTATAGGCATGTCAGACTGTCAATCATGAATGA